TTATATTGTTTCATAATTGATGGACAGCAAATCAGAGAAGGGCATCAAACACTCTTTTAGAGGTTTTGGTAATAGCTTTAGTTCGAAAAGAGCTAAAGCTCGGGTTAGTAATTATTGCAATTTGAAATTAGTTTGGTTTCAGTTTCATCAATGAAATAAAAAAATTGTATAGCATTTTATAAACATAAGCTTTTATTTTATATAAAAATGCATTAAAAAAAAAAGAAAACACAATTTCTTTAGCTATCATAGTTCCCCCTGGTATATCTTACTGGTATGGTACTATAGCTTAACCCGTGTGTCACCAAAATTTAATGAAGAATAGTGAAACATTAAATTGTATTGGGTTTATTAATAGGTTTATTTGAATGGACGATTCCATATGGCTTATCAATTCTCTCAAACTAGAATGCTTACTATATTAGAAAATTTCTTAGATAAAACAAAACAGTATAATATTGCAGAATTTTGTCATCACTTATGGTACCGGGTACCTGTATCAAAACTAAAATTGATAAATAATATTAATTAATTTAATTATTATTTAAATACAGTAAATAAAATACATGATGTTTATTTGTGAAATTTTGATCTTTTAAAGTATGATAGCAGAAATAATTGGTGAGATTTGTTATTTTTAAATGAAAATTAAGAATTCTAAAATACATCTTAATATTTAGTGATTACAGTAATTACAGTACTAAAAAAAGGAAATGTTTAAATTTATTTTAATAAGTTTGGGTAATTATCTAAACCAGTGGTTCTCAACTGGACTCTGCTTGTATTTCTCAGGTGTTCCGCTGCTGCCCCAGGAAACACCTAAACATTAATAACTTGTACCATGAATTGATTCTAAGAATGGCTCCAAAGTCAAAAAGGTTGTGAACCACTGGTATAAACTCATTCTGTTGTATCACTTAAACAACATTGTATAATACCAACCAAATTAATTATGAATCCAGGAAATGAAAGATCTGTGGTGATTTTAAAAGTCTTTCAGTGGAAGTGTTTTTTAATAGTATTAATAAGGTAAAATTAAAACAGTAAATTATGAATAATTATAATTTTATATTATAATTTATAATGAATAGAGAATAAAGCTTTCAAATCTATGTGAACATAGGTCTAGCCAGTCTAGGCAAAAATAATCACAGGTGAGTAATATACAAAAATTGATGAAAACAATTAACAAAATTGTTGGTACCGGTAGAGTATTAACAAAACGTGCACACTTGTTTGCCCTTCTATTTCTAATAAATATATATACAGTAAAGTTCGTCAGTTTAACTGTAACTGGAGTCTTCCTAAAGGGTTGTTCTTTAATTATGTCAACAATTTAGGTAATTTTTGCACCTTCCCTCCCCTCTTTCAATGTCAACAACCCTCAAACTTTCAAGGAACCCATTAATAAGTTATGTGAAAAAATGGTTATAAATTGATACCAGTACAATAACAGTAATATTAGTAATATAAAAAATAAATACAGATTCAGATATTTTTCAATGCTAAAAAATATAATAATTGGTGAGGAACAACAAATACATCACTCCTTTTAAAGGATTAGAATCTGTAATTTGAGTCCGTTTTAAGTAAGCATATACTGCAGAATTAATCAAAGAATTGATGAGTTCTATTAGGCACTAGGTCTAAATATTATTATTGTTAGTAAGTTTATTGTTAGGATCCATTTTTGTAATAGCGAATACTGGAAGCGACTAATGAATTTATCATTGGTATAACTATTGAACACCTGTTGAAATAATACTTGTCAAGTCCTACCATTTATTATAATTATAATATCATTTTTATGTGAGCAATAGTTTACCCCACTCTTTCTTAACTTTCTGTATTTTGGCAGCAACTCACCACACTAGTCACATCTTCTTAGTCGTTGAGAAACAGATGATAATGTCTTATGCCCACGAACACATGATCTGTGATGTTCTGACTATTTGAAATTATTATCACTGAAATTAACAAATATTGGATAACTAGGCTTGGATGGATGATGAAGAAAAGGATCTACAGCAGCTGGGAATCCAAGCATGGAAAAGAAAAGCACCATTAGGTCTGGATGGAAGGAAGTGGTGAGGCTGGCTAAAGCCCTACATGGGCGGTAGAGCTACAGGGATGGATGGATGGATGGAAAAATCTACTCATGATTTTTATTGTTGACTTCAATTTACTTTGACTCTCCTCCCCCTTGTCAACTTGTCAAACTTTTTCCAACCCAAGCTTACCATATTTTGTCGACATAATTTATGAATTTCTTAATGAACCAAATCTAGCTAGCTAGGGAATTTTAATGTGTGACAGTTTCTTTGTAAACGCATTATTTTTGTTTACTATATAGTATAGTGCATTCAAAAAAGAAATTGGACACAAAATTAGATCGTGCGAACTGAAACAAGAATTAGGCAAAATTTCTGTCCGTCAAATTTCTTTCAAACAAATTTTCGGTAACCGACTACCATACATTATAAATACACATGATTATACAAGTTGAGATTAACAGAATTCAACATTCAAGATACGGTAATAACAATAATAGGTAAAAAATATATGCAAAAAAATAAATAAATTATATTTTATATTCATTCTGATTTTGAAACCTTAGACAAAAAAGCAATGCAAATTATAGCATCAACATAAGCATTTAATCTTGAAAATTAATTGCAGCACAAAATAGCTCTAAAATAATATTTAAAAAACTATAAAAATTCAGGTACTGTACCTATTTAAATTGAAACTAAGAAGTAGTGAAGTGGTCTAAACCCATTAACATGCCAGCCTTACTTTGTACATTTTTTTAAAAACTGGATTTAGTCAAAAGTATTAAAAAAAAATTAGATTTGCACACGACACAGTGAAATGTCAATATCAGGCTAGTTGACCAATATCTATGTGATATACCGAATTATTCAATGATTGATAAATTCTTTAATAGACAGCATTGTGCGGTAAAAATGGTAATAGCTTTGTGTACGGTAGTACTAAATAACAAGTCCATTTGTGTAATACTACCCCAAACAAAAACTTAACATGATTTGCAGGGTCAACTTTTAAAAGTTTCTACAAAATAATTAAATACATTTTATCACTAACAATCTGAGAACAATATATCCATGCCTTTTATGCATATACATTATTTATTATGGCATGTTAGGCTTAGAGCTAATTTAATTTGTCAACACTTTCTAAAGCTAAAGGGACTTAGGTTTTTTTTCCACTGTAATAGAGCCCAAATCTGAGAATTGTCAATTATTATTTTTACTCCAACTGGAAACTTCCAATTAAATGGGTGAACCTAATTAAAAAAAAAAAAAGCTGGAATTAGACAAGCACTGAGGGAAGTTAAAAAATAGTGGCTGACCGAATACCCTGGAATAATAGATATTTCATCAGTCAGCTCATCATATGTATTTTGCAAAAAAGACAAGTGCTTGCTTCAGGCTCTTACTCTTAGACCATTAAAGCACTGTCAGACTCTAACAGAATTTTGAACCAATATACAGCTCTTTTTTTCATATTTTGAGAGCCACACAATAATATAGAAAAACCTGGCAAAATCAAGAATTTATTTCAGCTCCCTAAGTGACAACTTAGAGGACTTTACAATGCCTCCCGTTTGTTTAATCTCTATTGAATGAGTTTAACACTATAGATTAGAATGATGAGCCTCAGCTATGGAGGTGTCCTTTTGGATCAAATGGATTGTGTGCTCAAGCAGTTGGCCGTACATTTTATGGAGATGAAGCATATCATTTTATTATAATGGAGATTCAAGATCTGGGGCTATTGAACTTCATGGATCATGATCTGAAGCATGATGATAAAGGATAATAAATGAAGGATAATAGACTTGCCACTGGCCTCTCAAATAAGACTCTTATTGAAGTTTCAGATATACATCCAGATCTTACAACTGTGCTTTTTAAAGACATCAGAAACTTTGATTCAGCAACATTGGGTAAAATGCTGAAAATAGTTCCATTTGATAACAGAGTACTCAAGGATATCAAAGTGCTCAATGACATCAAAGTTCTGGATCCAAGACAACACTAAATACAGCAGGTTGGCAAACACGTTGGCTTATGATGTTGACCTAGAGATTTTGAAGGATGAGTATGATAACTGTTTCTTATCAAGCTTTCCAAGTACAAGAGGTTAAATAAAATTGACCAAAATTGGCTTGGTGTGATGGGCCTGAACCAACTACAGAGGTTAAACAAAATTGACCAACTATTGCCTTGGTGTGATGGGCCTGAACCAACTACAGAGGTTAAACAAAACTGACCAACTATTGGCTTGGTGTGATGGGCCTGAACCAACTACAGAGGTTAAACAAAATTGACCAACTATTGCCTTGGTGTGATGGCCCTGAACCAACTACAGAGGTTAAATAAAATTGACCAACTATTGCCTTGGTGTGATGGGCCTGAACCAACTACGGAGGTTAAACAAAATTGACCAACTATTTACTTGGTGTGATGGGCCTGAACCAACTACAGAGGTTAAACAAAATTGACCAACTATTGCCTTGGTGTGATGGGCCTGAACTGAAAACAAGTTGAGGTTTCTGAATCTCACAAATATAAAATGATTGCTGACCTTGCCTCACAGCAAGTCTGACTGTGAGAGATCTTTCTCAAGGTTGAACAAATCCAAACCAATTGTAGAAACAGACTTGATGGTGACACAATCACCACAGACTTGATGGTGACACAATCACCACAGACTTGATGGTGACACAATCACCACAGACTTGATGGTGACACAATCACCAAAGACTTGATGGTGACAAAATCACCACAGACTTGATAGTGACAATCACCACAGACTTGATGGTGACACAATCACCACAGACTTGATGGTGACACAATCACCAGACTTGATGGTGACACAATCACCACAGACTTGATGGTGAATCAATCACCACAGACTTGATGGTGACACAATCACCTCAATTTTACAATGCAAAATAAAAAATGACACTTGATGGATTATCAGATTCAGAAATAATTCAGAAATCAAATTTGGCTTGCATTCAACAAATTGATCATTAAAATTAGTTTAAAAAAAAATATAAATCATATTTAAAAAAAAAATAAATTTTCATGCAGTTGTACAGTTTTTTATTCTGTTGTACAGTTTTTTTTACAGTTTTTTTGATCCTATCGGTTGGCAGGAATGCATTAATAAAGACAATAAATATTACAGTCTTTAGCCATCTGAAATGAATGTACAGAACCTAATATATTGCCATGAAGTATGAAGGTCAAATTTAAAAAAACTGATCATTTGTTTATCAAGTATAATAAAATAGATTATATAAACATCCTAAAAATCACTTCAACCTTAAGTTACCTAAAATAAAATAAATATTATTATACTAAAATTATAGTGAAGAAAACATCTGAAATGGTCCCTGGTTGTATTTCAAGACAAGTTCATTTTGTGATTTGAGTAAATTGTTTGATATGGAGATTCTGGTCAATATGGCTTAATATTGTTGCAGTTTAGCAGTTGACAGAATGATCTGTTGATCCTCCAGTTACCATAACAAGATGGCTGCCTCCTGCAGACAGAAATGGTAGAAGTTTTATAAAAGAATCAACTTCTGTGAAACCTCAAATACAGATGTCCTCACTTTCAGAAAATGATAACTGAATTGTTGAACCTCATGATTTTTTTTCATTTAAAAGGTTCACAATGCCCGGTATCATAGATTTAAATTTATAAACTATTTAATTAAATGTGAATTTTTTTCAAGCTATTTCATTCTATAATGATATTAATATTGTATTAAAAAACATTAAAGATTGAGATAAATCCAATTTCTAATTATATTGATTTAAATTTTAATTACCCGGTATGACATTTCTCTAAAATTAACTTGTTACCTTGATAATAAATTAAGTAAAGGGGGAGCAAAATATATATTTTAAATGCTGGTAATTGATATAATGTGATTTAAAAAAAGTAAATTGATAATTAAGAACAGTAAATTAAATTTTCAACTAAAACTTTACTAACACCTGCTTACAATATTAGATCCAACCTATTGTCCAATGTAATAATATATTGATAGATTTAGCTCATTCAAGATTCCAGAGATAAACATATACGCCACATTTAAAAAAAAATATCATGACAAGAATTAGTTAACTTTTGATAGAAACAGTTCAATAAGTTGGAGACAACCTGTACAGTAGAGCCCTCGTTGTTTTACCTAAACAGGATTATTGATAACCCATATGTTGGCTAAGAAACAGGTTATTAAAGGATTTGTAAAAATAACTGAAAAGGTCCAAAACATGATGTTTCTATACAGTACAGGTACCTTCAAACATACGACGTCTAGTTTCATTACAGTACAGGTACCTTCAAACATACACCTTCTAGTTCATTACAGTATGGGTACCTTCAAACATATGCCTTCTAGTTTCATTACAGTACAGGTGCCTTCAAACTTACGCCTTCTAGTTTAATTACAGTATGGGTACCTTCAAACATATGCCTTCTAGTTTCATTACAGTACGGGTACCTTCAAACATACGCCGTCTAGTTTCATTACAGTACAGGTACCTTCAAACTTAACACCAGTGACCATGGCAAATATGAGTGTATTTAAATTATTTCCCTTTCTTCCTTTGCAAAATGGTCGTTGGGAAAAATGGTCTGTCAAAGAAACTTCCCCATTCTCTAAACTATTGCATTATGTGTACAAAATAAAACCCTGATGTGCTACTAATTCATTATGTGTACACAATAAAACCCTGATGTGCTACTATTGCATTATGTGTACACAATAAAACCTTGATGTGCTACTATTGCATTATGTGTACACAATAAAACCCTGATGTGCTACTATTGCATTAAGTGTACACAATGAAACCCTGATGTGCTACTACTGCATTATGTGTACACAATAAAACCCTGATGTGCTACCGGTATTATATTTTTTAATATGTTACAAATCTAAAGTGTGCTAACACCTTACCAGTGTTCTCCAACATGTTGTCATCCCTTGAACTCTCTCTGATGCCAAAATCTACATTTAAGTCCAGTGGTGCCTCATCGTCATCTAACATGGCATCAGAGTCATCCTGTGTATGTAACATGTTGTACTGTCGGATGCTGTGCACCTTTCTGTCCATCAATGAAAATAACATTATGTCAGTTCCTTTAAATTTGTAAAAGCTCATTTTGGGCTTTATAAATATTCATGACAAGAATCTATGATATTACATCCAGATGAGGATGTGTAACTATTCAGCGTGGTCCACATGAGACAGAACCACCTCATGTTTTGCACAGCTCAGCACTTCAGAAAATATGCTTCTATTATCAACAATTAACAGACTAGGAAGTAACATCCTATGCAATTTGGAAAACCTTGATATTTTTCACCAATGCCCCATCCACAACAGATAAAAATCCTCTAACTTCAGTGAGCATGAAAAGAAAAATGTTGAAAGCTGAGAAAGATTGAGTGTAAAAACAAGGGACAATAACAAGGGAGGTAAAATATAAAAATAGTTATCTTTGTGATATATATATATATATTTATATATATATATTAATTCATAATAAGATACTGGAAAACAAATTGTTTTTAATTGAACTCAGTGAATAAAATTTTTAATTTTTTCAAAAAGTTAGTATAATTATTATGATCTCAGTCGTCCAATCTATATGTGTGTGATAATGATATGCTTTGATTCTTAACTCACTTTCTACAATACATCAATGATACGCCTGACACAATGAGGGCTAAGACCAACACTGGAACTGCAATGTAGATTGGCTTCATATTAATCCCTTCAGAAACTCCATCTGTAGAATTGGGGTGACCTAATTGTATAAAAAAATGATATTTTTTATATTTGTATAAAATTTAGGCTTGATGTTTATCAACCCTTTTAAAGTTTTAAATTTTAAAATACAATAAAAATAAAATATCTTGTTTCATGCAGAAGAAATAATCTTCTTTCTAACTGCAAAAATCTGCTTTTTGCATTAAAAAATGTCTTTGACTCAGACCTTCCTACCATACTTTACATATTTAATGCTGTTTCCACTTAATACAATTTCAAACAAAAAACGGAAGTTCACACCCAGAAGAACTTTGTTTTGAGTGAAATTTTGAGTGTTTGGTGAAATTTTTTGAAGTTGTTTCCCCTCAATTTGTGTCCACTGTATTGCTATCTCTGTTTGGCTTGTTCCCCTCAATTTGTGTCCACTGTATTGCTATCTCTGTTTGGCTTGTTCCCCTCAATTTGTGTCCACTGTATTGCTATCTCTGTTTGGCTTGTTCCCCTCAATTTGTGTCCACTGTATTGCTTTCTCTGTTTGGCTTGTTCCCCTCAATTTGTGTCCACTGTATTGCTATCTCTGTTTGGCTTGTTCCCCTCAATTTGTGTCCACTGTATTGCTATCTCTGTTTGGCTTGTTCCCCTCAATTTGTGTCCACTGTATTGCTATCTCTGTTTGGCTTGTTCCCCTCAATTTGTGTCCACTGTATTGCTATCTCTGTTTGGCTTGTTCCCCTCAATTTGTGTCCACTGTATTGCTTTTTCTGTTTGGCTTGTTCCACTCAATTTGTGTCCACTGTATTGCTATCTCTGTTTGGCTTGTTCCCCTCAATTTGTGTCCACTGTATTGCTTTCTCTGTTTGGGTCTTAGTATTTTATTAATATTAAATATAAGGCCCATTAAGGGTTATGACGACCAATAAAAAAATAAAAAAAAAGACCAAGGACACCAAAGTAAAACCGAATACCCTGTTTTTGTCTCATTTAGCCTAGACCTGCCTAACTTACTAATGATGTCAACTCTTCTCATATGCAGCTCAGTTCAGCACTATAAACCAACGAACCGTTATGTATATTTTTAAGTCTGTTTAAGCTAATTCATTTCAGCTTTGACATCAATTTCCATAGACTCCTGATAAATTCTTTGGTTTGCTCCATCATCTGATACATGACCATTGATTCCAAGAGATTCTAAATTAATTTCTTGACATGTTTCATCAACATTTTTCTTTTAGCTCTGTTTGCTTGTATGTCAAGCTGACCCTAACCCCCCCCCCCCTGTTTATAATGGAGATTTTTATTGTGGAAACTTCAAAGTAAACATACATAGGCATACAGTTTCTCTGAATAACCAATAAGCTTTAGTTGCTCTGACTGACCATAAGCCAATAGTTGCTTTGACTGACCATAAGCCAATAGTTGNTTTTTCTTTTAGCCTTTTTTGCTTGTATGTCAAGCTGACCCTAACCCCCCCCCCCCCTGTTTATAATGGAGATTTTTATTGTGGAAACTTCAAAGTAAACATACATAGGCATACAGTTTCTCTGAATAACCAATAAGCTTTAGTTGCTCTGACTGACCATAAGCCAATAGTTGCTTTGACTGACCATAAGCCAATAGTTGCTCTGACTGACCATAAGCCAATAGTTGCTCTGACTGACCATAAGCCAATAGTTGCTCTGACTGACCATAAGCCAATAGTTGCTCTGACAGACCGTAAGCCAATAGTTGCTCTGACTGACCATAAGCCAATAGTTTTAGCCCGAACAAAGAAAGTGGTCTGCTGGCGGGCAGAAGAAACATTTTAAAGACGACCTAAAAGCCTCACTGAAAGAGTTTGACATAAACCCAGACACATGAAAGGAAAAAGCAAAGGAACGAACATCACGCCGTTCCACTTTACACAGGAGCACCATGCAACATGAATTTAGCAGAGCAGTGGCTGCAGAGAGCAAGAGACATGCCAGGAAGGCCCCGTCTGACTCTGGTCCCAGAGATGCCCCATCATTCCTCCGCAGCTACTGCACAGTAAAATTTTGTGCCAGAATCGGCCTCATTAGTTATCTGCCCACCCTCAGACAGAACTAGTACAAATCTGATGATTAAAGTGGTCATGGTCGAGTACCGACTGACAACAACAACAGTCGCTTGAAATTGAACCAGAAGACCAATAGTTACTCTGAACGACACATAGATCAATAGCTGCTCTGAACAACACATAGGCCAATAGTTGCTCTGATCAACACATAGGCTAATAGTTGCTCTGAACAACACATAGTCCAATAGTTGCTCTGAAAGACACATAGGCCAATAGTTGCTCTGAACGACACATAGATCAATAGTTGCTCTGAATGACACATTGGCCAATAGTTGCTCTGAACGACACATAGGCCAATAGTTGATCTGATCGACACATAGGCCAATAGTTACTCTTAACAACATATAGACCAATAGTTGCTCTGAATGACACATATGCCAATAGTTGCTCTGACTATCTGTACATCTATAGTTGCTCTGAACGATCGATAAAAAAACGGTTCAAACGAAATTATAATTTCGTTACTTAAATTAGGATTTGCCTTGGTAGGTCTGATGACTTTCATCTCATGTTCCCTGGTAGGTCTGTTGACTTTTATCTCATGTTCCTTGGTAGGTCTGTTGACTTTTATCTCATGTTCCCTGGTAGGTCTGTTGACTTTTATCTCATGTTCCCTGGTAGGTCTGATGACTTTTATCTCATGTTCCCTGGTAGGTCTTTTGACTTTTATCTCATGTTCCCTGGTAGGTCTGTTGACTTTTATCTCATGTTCCCTGGTAGGTCTGTTGACTTTTATCTCATGTTCCCTGATAGGTATGTTGATTTTATCTCATGTTCCTTGGTAGGTATGTTGACTTTTATTTCATGTTCCCTGGTAGGTCTGTTGACTTTTATCTCATGTTCCCTGGTAGGTCTGTTGACTTTTATCTCATGTTCCCTGGTAGGTATGTTGATTTGATCTCATGTTCCCTGGTAGGTCTGTTGACTTTTATCTCATGTTCCTTGGTAGGTATGTTGACTTTTATTTCATGTTCCCTGGTAGGTATGTTGACTTTTATCTCATGTTCCCTGGTAGGTCTGATGACTTTTATCTCATGTTCCCTGGTAGGTCTTTTGACTTTTATCTCATGTTCCCTGGTAGGTCTGTTGACTTTTATCTCATGTTCCCTGGTAGGTCTGTTGACTTTTATCTCATGTTCCCTGATAGGTATGTTGATTTTATCTCATGTTCCTTGGTAGGTATGTTGACTTTTATTTCATGTTCCCTGGTAGGTCTGTTGACTTTTATCTCATGTTCCCTGGTAGGTCTGTTGACTTTTATCTCATGTTCCCTGGTAGGTATGTTGATTTGATCTCATGTTCCCTGGTAGGTCTGTTGACTTTTATCTCATGTTCCCTGATAGGTATGTTGATTTTATCTCATGTTCCCTGGTAGGTCTGTTGATTTGTTATCTCATGTTCCATGGTAGGTCTGTTGATTTTATCTCATGTTCCCTGGTAGGTCTGTTGACTTCATCTCATGTTCCCTGGTAGGTCTGTTGACTTTTATCTCATGTTCCTTGGTAGGTCTGTTGACTTTTATCTCATGTTCCCTGGTAGGTATGTTGATTTTATCTCATGTTCCCTGGTAGGTCTGTTGACTTTTATCTCATGTTCCCTGGTAGGTCTGTTGATTTTATCTCATGTTCCCTGGTAGGTCTGTTGACTTTTATCTCATGTTCCCTGGTAGGTCTGTTGACTTTTATCTCATGTTCCCTGGTAGGTCTGTTGACTTTTATCTCATGTTCCCTGGTAGGTCTGTTGACTTTTATCTCATGTTCCTTCTATCTATGACATTTATTCATGTTTCATTTATTTTTCTTGAAGTTCCTATAATGTCACAAGTTCATGTAATAGCCCTAATCTGGTTCCTAAAATGTCATAAATTCATGAAATAGTCCTAATCTGGTTCCTAAAATGTCATAAATTCATGAAATAGTCCAAATCTGGTTCCTAAAATGTCATAAGTTCATGAAATAGTCCAAATCTGGTGTTCCTAAAATGTCATAAGTTCATGCAATAGCCCTAGTCTGGTTCCTAAAATGTCATAAATTCATGAAATAGTCCAAATCTGGTTCCTAAAATGTCATAAGTTCATGAAATAGTCCAAATCTGGTGTTCCTAAAATGTCATAAATTCATGAAATAGCCCTAATCTGGTTCCTAAAATGTCATAAATTCATGAAATAGTCCTAATCTGGTTCCTAAAATGTCATAAATTCATGAAATAGTCCTAATCTAATGTTCCTAAAATGTCATAAGTTCATGTAATAGCCCTAATCTGGTTCCTAAAATGTCATAAATTCATGAAATAGCCCTAATCTGGTTCCTAAAATGTCATAAATTCATGAAATAGTCCTAATCTGATGTTCCTAAATGTCAAAAGTTCATGAAATAGTCCTAAACTGATTTGAAGTTCCTAAAATTGTCAAGTTCATGTAATAGTATTAAAAAAAACCCTGATGTAATGATAGATTGAACAAAATAGTGCAATTGGGGTGGGTTGAATGCAGCAATTGAGTATTACAATTTTCCTCACAATGTAAATGTCAAGGTCAATTCTTTGTCATACTATTTGATTCCTTATCTGTTATCCAATTTCTTTCCAGACAATGTATACATGTAATGGTCTCTGAATTCAATTTGTATGGGAATTTGTCATTTTAGACAAGTACATTGAAATGTGAAAATGGCTTGACACTCGGCAGTCATAGGGTTAAAGGTACACATGTACATTTTGTAAAAGCCAGTCAAGAAAATTGATGTACCTGTTAAGTCAGTAGCAGAAACAATCTTGACAATATTATCAGAGTCATATGTTTTCACAAAAAGGTTTATTCCAAGAACACCTTTTTCCACTTGCTCATAAACAACTGCTTTCACCTGCATTAAGAATTATAAGAACATTTATTTATCCACATTTGTATGATGAAAAGGTATGTGCCAAATGTTCTATTGAACTCACTAAAGAATGTCAAGTGTGATAGCAGCTTATACAAGACATTTTATTTATTGAACTCACTAAAGAATGTCAAGTGTGATAGCAGCTTATACAAAATATTTCCTTTCATTACAAGGGATAACTTATACTGGTTATTTTATTGACCAAACTGATCATTTAGTTCAGTATCACACTTTTTATGGACGCTCTTGTTTCTATGAAGTTAACCTTAGCCCTGCCCCCAACCTACACCCACCACACCAAGCTCGATGTTGACCCTTTGAGGTAGATAATCACATTAACAATGTAAAACATGGTTACAAGTTCCATAATTGAAAAATAAATTAATTGAAGTTTATCCATTAATATGGAGTCTTATAATGAAAATAGAGAGTTTTTAAAATGTATTACTCAGTAATTAACTACTTCACTGCTCATTAAATTCTTAACTTGATGGATAATATCTTAAAGCGATGGAAAATATCAATGAAGTGATTAAAGTATTTGAATCTCTGATATAAAAAAAAGGGTTGAGTTGTGTCTTCCTTTATTTATTAAATTGACATCTACATCAAACAAAATTGGCTTTAAATTTAAAAGTAAAGTATTTTTTATCATAGTAATTACATCTCAAACTCAAGTTGGTGAAAGATTTCTGTGAAAACAAAGGACTACATGCTAACTAAATAATACATTAAATAATTTGCAAGAAATTGTAAAAAAAAAATTTCCCTTCCTTTTATAACTCCAATGCTTTGGCTGTTTAAAAACTTAAGACATTTGGTATGGTGCTTTTGTGGGTCTAATTTGTGCCTACAAGACGTATGTAACCTCATCAATCCTAGCAGCCATCTGTGATATCCCAAGATGTCTATTCATTGTCAAAAAAGTGTAATCAAGGACTGAACATGGCAAAAACTGGGAGTATGACTTTGTTTACCTGAGATGAACATGGCAAAAACTGCGAGTATGTCTTTGTTTACCTGAGTTACATTGACATCCACCTGTTGTGTTGAGGGAAATATGTAGAGGTGTACGGCTACTGGATTCAAGCTGACAAGTACAGCCTCCAAGCGGTCTAGCCTCACTCCAATGTCCTGAAAAGACAAAACATTGGCAAAGTTAATATTTGAGGGTCAACCCAAACCAAGTTGTGGTGATGTGTTGACCATGTTTATTTTAAAGTTTGAAATTTGTTCATGTATGCATGCAGTATCATGCGGTGTATTTGTTATTGTATCAGGATTTAAAAAAGAAAAAGGAGAATGTTGGCAGTGAGTTTTTTCAGTGGAGAAAGGTGAATCTTGGCAGTGAGTTTGTTCAGTGGAGAAAGATGAATGTTGGCAGTGAGATTTTTCAGTGGAGAAAGGTGAATCTTGGCAGTGAGTTTGTTTGGTGGAGAAAGATGAATGTTGGCAGTGAGTTTGATTGGTGGAGAAAGGTGAATGTTGGCAGTGAGTTTGTTCAGATGAGAAAGATGAATGTTGGCAGTGAGTTTGTTCAGAGGAGAAAGGTGAATGTTGGCAGTGAGTTTGTTTGGTGGAGAAAGATGAATGTTGGCAGTGAGTTTGTTCAGATGAGAAAGATGAATGTTGGCAGTGAGTTTGTTCAGATGAGAAAGATGAATGTTGGCAGTGAGTTTGTTCAGAGGAGAAAGGTGAATGTTGGCAGTGAGTTTGTTCAGAGGAGAAAGATGAATGTTGGCAGTGAGTTTGATTGGTGGAGAAAGGTGAATGTTGGCAGTGAGTTTGTTCAGATGAGAAAGATGAATGTTGGCAGTGAGTTTGTTCAGAGGAGAAAGATGAATGTTGGCAGTGAGATTTTTCAGTGGAGAAAGGTGAATCTTGGCAGTGAGTTTGTTCAGTGGAGAAAGATGAATGTTGGCAGTGAGATTTTTCAGTGGAGAAAGGTGAATCTTGGCAGTGAGTTTGTTTGGTGGAGAAAGATGAATGTTGGCAGTGAGTTTGATTGGTGGAGAAAGGTGAATGTTGGCAGTGAGTTTGTTCAGATGAGAAAGATGAATGTTGGCAGTGAGTTTGTTCAGAGGAGAAAGGTGAATGTTGGCAGTGAGTTTGTTTGGTGGAGAAAGATGAATGTTGGCAGTGAGTTTGTTTGGTGGAGAAAGATGAATGTTGGCAGTGAGTTTGTTTGGTGGAGAAAGATGAATGTTGGCAGTGAGTTTGTTTGGTGGAGAAAGATGAATGTTGGCAGTGAGTTTGTTTGGTGGAGAAAGATGAATGTTGGCAGTGAGTTTGTTTGGTGGAGAAAGATGAATGTTGGCAGTGAGTTTGTTCAGATGAGAAAGATGAATGTTGGCAGTGAGTTTGTTCAGATGAGAAAGATGAATGTTGGCAGTGAGTTTGTTCAGATGAGAAAGATGAATGTTGGCAGTGAGTTTGTTCAGATGAGAAAGATGAATGTTGGCAGTGAGTTTGTTCAGATGAGAAAGATGAATGTTGGCAGTGAGTTTGTTCAGATGAGAAAGATGAATGTTGGCAGTGAGTTTGTTCAGATGAGAAAGATGAATGTTGGCAGTGAGTTTGTTCAGATGAGAAAGATGAATGTTGGCAGTGAGTTTGTTCAGATGAGAAAGATGAATGTTGGCAGTGAGTTTGTTCAGATGAGAAAGATGAATGTTGGCAGTGAGTTTGTTCAGATGAGAAAGATGAATGTTGGCAGTGAGTTTGTTCAGATGAGAAAGATGAATGTTGGCAGTGAGTTTGTTCAGATGAGAAAGATGAATGTTGGCAGTGAGTTTGTTCAGATGAGAAAGATGAATGTTGGCAGTGAGTTTGTTCAGATGAGAAAGGTGAATGTTGGCAGTGAGTTTGTTCAGATGAGAAAGATGAATGTTGGCAGTGAGTTTGTTTGGTGGAGAAAGATGAATGTTGGCAGTGAGTTTGTTCAGATGAGAAAGATGAATGTTGGCAGTGAGTTTGTTCAGATGAGAAAGATGAATGTTGGCAGTGAGTTTGTTCAGAGGAGAAAGGTGAATGTTGGCAGTGAGTTTGTTCAGAGGAGAAAGATGAATGTTGGCAGTGAGTTTGTTCAGATGAGAAAGATGAATGTTGGCAGTGAGTTTGTTCAGAGGAGAAAGGTGAATGTTGGCAGTGAGTTTGTTCAGATGAGAAAGATGAATGTTGGCATTGAGTTTGTTCAGATGAGAAAGATGAATGTTGGCAGTGAGTTTGTTCAGATGAGAAAGATGAATGTTGGCAGTGAGTTTGTTCAGATGAGAAAGATGAATGTTGGCAGTGAGTTTGTTCAGATGAGAAAGGTGAATGTTGGCAGTGAGTTTGTTCAGATGAGAAAGATGAATGTTGGCAGTGAGTTTGTTCAGATGAGAAAGATGAATGTTGGCAGTGAGTTTGTTCAGATGAGAAAGATGAATGTTGGCAGTGAGTTTGTTCAGATGAGAAAGATGAATGTTGGCAGTGAGTTTGTTCAGATGAGAAAGATGAATGTTGGCAGTGAGTTTGTTCAGATGAGAAAGATGAATGTTGGCAGTGAGTTTGTTCAGATGAGAAAGATGAATGTTGGCAGTGAGTTTGTTCAGATGAGAAAGATGAATGTTGGCAGTGAGTTTGTTCAGATGAGAAAGATGAATGTTGGCAGTGAGTTTGTTCAGATGAGAAAGATGAATGTTGGCAGTGAGTTTGTTCAGATGAGAAAGATGAATGTTGGCAGTGAGTTTGTTCAGATGAGAAAGATGAATGTTGGCAGTGAGTTTGTTCAGATGAGAAAGATGAATGTTGGCAGTGAGTTTGTTCAGATGAGAAAGATGAATGTTGGCAGTGAGTTTGTTCAGATGAGAAAGATGAATGTTGGCAGTGAGTTTGTTCAGATGAGAAAGATGAATGTTGGCAGTGAGTTTGTTCAGATGAGAAAGATGAATGTTGGCAGTGAGTTTGTTCAGATGAGAAAGATGAATGTTGGCAGTGAGTTTGTTCAGATGAGAAAGATGAATGTTGGCAGTGAGTTTGTTCAGATGAGAAAGATGAATGTTGGCAGTGAGTTTGTTCAGATGAGAAAGATGAATGTTGGCAGTGAGTTTGTTCAGATGAGAAAGATGAATGTTGGCAGTGAGTTTGTTCAGATGAGAAAGATGAATGTTGGCAGTGAGTTTGTTCAGATGAGAAAGATGAATGTTGGCAGTGAGTTTGTTCAGATGAGAAAGATGAATGTTGGCAGTGAGTTTGTTCAGATGAGAAAGATGAATGTTGGCAGTGAGTTTGTTCAGATGAGAAAGATGAATGTTGGCAGTGAGTTTGTTCAGATGAGAAAGATGAATGTTGGCAGTGAGTTTGTTTGGTGGAGAAAGATGAATGTTGGCAGTGAGTTTGTTCAGATGAGAAAGATGAATGTTGGCAGTGAGTTTGTTCAGATGAGAAAGATGAATGTTGGCAGTGAGTTTGATTGGTGGAGAAAGATGAATGTTGGCAGTGAGTTTGTTCAGAGGAGAAAGATGAATGTTGGCATTGAGTTTGATTGGTGGAGAAAGATGAATGTTGGCAGTGAGTTTGTTCAGAGGAGAAAGATGAATGTTGGCAGTGAGTTTGTTCAGAGGAGAAAGATGAATGTTGGCAGTGAGTTTGTTCAGAGGAGAAAAATCAAGATTTAGTTGTAATAGCTGTTAGCAATCAACTCTATCAATTTTGTTTAGATGAATAGTTTACTTGAAATTATGATTGTAGATAGTTATTTGGACCCCAAAGTAAGATGTAAATGTATTGTTTATATGGTAGGTATTTATCTTAGGTATGTGGTAACTGCTAATTCAGTGACATTAGGCTACTTATGTGACACAAGGCTACGTCAGTGACACAAGGTTATGTCAGTGACAAAAGGCTACGTCAGTGACAAAAGGCTACATCAGTGACAAAAGGCTACATCAGTGACAAAAGGCTACGTCAGTGACAAAAGGCAACTTATGTGACACAAGGCTACGTCAGTGACAAAAGGCTACACCAAGCTTAAGTATATTCTTCCATTCATTTTAGATCATTGCAGGCATTCACTCTGAACTAAACAATGTAAGAAAAGTTAAAGAAATAGCATGCTCAAGAAACATTTTGATATAAAAAAGGTGACATGTTTGTTCAGTTAAATACTTGAGACTTTGAGAATAACATACCTCTGCTAATTGTTGTCTGACCCTCTGAGTGAACAGCTGTGCAACCAACACATCACTCATATTGTACATAGCTACGTTGTCACTGAATTTCAGCACCAGAATATCGACTTGATCTGTTGATTAATGAATATGTAACGGATATTTTGATGTAGAAATGTAAAACATTAGTCAAATTTAGTAATAATTTTTAAAAATATTAACAATCAAATAGGACACAATGTTCATATAAACACAGGATATATTCCCAAAGCATCACTAGTACTTCCAAAACATCACTAGTACTCCCAGCGCATCGCTAGTACCCCCAGAGCATCACTAGTACCCCCAGAGCATAACTAGTACTCCCAGCGCATCGCTAGTAACCACAGAGAGTCGCTAGTACCCCCCAAAGCATCACTAGTACTCCCAGAGCATCGCTAGTACTCCCAGAGCATCGCTAGTACTCCCAGAGCATCGCTAGTACCCACAAACCATCACTAGTACCCCCAAAGCGTCGCTAGTACCCCCAAAGCATCACTAGTACTCCCAGAGCATCGTTAGTACCCACAGAGCATCACTAGTACTCCCAGAGCATCGTTAGTACCCACAGAGCATCACTAGTACTCCCAGAGCATCGTTAGTACCCACAGAGCATCACTAGTACTCCCAGAGCATCGCTAGTACCCACAAACCATCACTAGTACCCCCAAAGCGTCGCTAGTACCCCCAAAGCATCGTTAGTACCCACAAACCATCACTAGTACTCCCAGAGCATCGTTAGTACCCCCAAAGCATCACTAGTACTCCCAGAGCATCGTTAGTACCCACAGAGCGTCGCTAGTACCCCCAAAGCATCACTAGTACTCCCAGAGCATCGTTAGTACCCACAGAGCGTCGCTAGTACCCCCAAAGCATCACTAGTACTCCCAACTCCCAGAGCATCGTTAGTACCCACAGAGCGTCGCTAGTACCCCCAAAGCATCACTAGTACTCCCAGAGCATCGTTAGTACCCACAGAGCGTCGCTAGTACCCCCAAAGCATCACTAGTACTCCCAGAGCATCGTTAGTACCCACAGAGCGTCGCTGGTACCCCCAAAGCATCACTAGTACTCCCAGAGCATCGTTAGTACCCACAGAGCATCGTTAGTACCCACAGAGCGTCGCTAGTACCCCCAAAGCATCACTAGCACTCCCAGAGCATCGTTAGTACCCACAGAGCATCACTAGTACCCCCAAAGCATCACTAGTATCCCCAAAGCATCACTAGTACTCCCAAAGCATCACTAGTACCCCCAAAGCATCACTAGTACCCCCAAAGCATCACTAGTATCCCCAAAGCATCACTAGTACCCCCAAAGCATCACTAGTACCCCCAAAGCATCACTAGTACCCCCAGAGCGTCGCTAGTACCCCCAAAGCATCACTAGCACTCCCAGAGCATCGTTAGTACACACAGAGCGTCGCTAGTACCCCCAAAGCATCACTAGCACTCAAAAAACCATCACTAGTACTCCCAGAGCATCGCTAGTGCTCCCAGAGCATCGCTTGGCAATGACCAGTGGGTGATGCACCCACAAAAAGAAAATGTTATCATATGATTTTCTAAAAAGTACAAAGAAAGAAAGGGGCCCACTTTATGCAAGGCCCACTTTATGCAAGGCCAACTTTAATTCATGGCCCACTTCATGCAAGACCCACTTAATGCATGGCCCACTTAATGCATGACCCACTTAATGCATGGTCCATTTAATGCATGGTCCATTTAATGCATGGTCCATTTAATGCATGGTCCATTTAATGCATGGTGCACTTAATGCAAGACCCACTTAATGCATGGTCCACTTAATGCATGGTCCACTTAATGCATGGCCCACTTAATGCATGGCCCACTTAATGCATGGTCCACTTAATGCATGGTCCACTTAATGCATGGTACACTTAATGCATGGCCCACTTAATGCATGGCAACACTTAATACCAGAATAAGCGTTTTTTTAACTATCTTGGGCGGCTGGGCTGATCTATTGGAACAGGTTTGAATGGCAAAAAAGACAAAAGGCCAATCTATCGGCCTGATAATTCAAGCCTCGAGATTGGCTGGCTGGTCTTTGTCCAGCTTATCAGATTGCTTCTTGCATATCTTGCTCATCTAGCCATTTTAATGACGCCTGAATTTATATTTTACGGTTTTCTGTCATTTTATATTAATTTTTTTTTATCTAGTGACCCGTAAAAATTCTTTAAAAATATGTGACCTTAAAATATGTCAAAAGGCACAAGCTCCCCAGGGGAATATTTAAGGTAGTTTTTCACACTGCATCTACACATTAGGACTTATTTAGGCTTCAACTATCACAAAATTTAACAAAATTACGTAAATCAACCTATCTCATTAGCATAAATGTTGAGATTTCAGTTTGATTCATAAAGATCATATTAGTTTATTCAATTCCCTACAAAATATATATAGTTTCTTTTATTTATAAAGTAATTAGTTTATTTATATTTATTTATAAATTTTTTATGCAATATAAGTCCCAAGCTTGTAAAAAGGGCTCTGCCTTTTGGCACCAACACTCCAAAAAGTCCCAGTCTCAAAAGTGTTTAATTTTAAAACATTCTTTGAACTTCAAACAATTTAAAAACATTTTTTCAGTAATAAAATATTAGGGGATACAAAAAAATGTGTATATATCTTTAGAAAATATTACTTTACTGGGAACATTTCTATTTATTGAAAAAATATTGCTTTAACCCTATAACTGTCATAACGACTGATTATCAGCCGTTATACCCCTTTCTGTGGTGTCAAAGCAATATCTAAGCGGCAGCTCATTAAATGCAAATGATTTAATGTATATTGATTAAGGGAAAATTCCAATACATAAATGAATTGGCTTCCTGCTTCCGTTTCTATCTGTGTGTTAACGTGCTTTATTAGGACTTTTTTTGTGTGTGTGATGACATGAGGGATGTGAAATTTTCTCAATGTTTTTACCACCAAAATGGCTGATACTGGAAAGGGTCCCCTCAAGATTGCAAAATCAATACAGAATTTCTCTATTGGAATTATTTCAAATTAATCAAAATGAAAGCAATGATTTCAGAGCTATTCAATGTGGTAGTAATTACAGTACAGTATTAGCTCTAGTGCTGATGGCAACATAGGAGTCAGATATTGACAATTTTAGCCCTAGCCTTAGTCCTATTGTTACAAATTTGTTTGGGAAAGGGTGGCAATCAAAGACAAAGATTGGATCCCAAAGACCTACCCTAAAGAGATTCAAATATAGTTATGTTTGTATATGTTCTGGTGTATTAATTAATAATAAAAATAAATTACTAACTTCATTTGTATTTTTTAAGACATAAATTTGAAGGTAGTGAATGAAACTAATTCACCAATATCACAATATTCAATACAAGTAACTATAACATGACATTTTCTGAAAGAATATTGCTGTTAGTATCTCAAAAACTTAATTTTATGATAGTTTGAAAAATTAATGGAGTGTTAGGTTGGCTTGAATGAAATCAGAAGTTGAGTAGTAAAATTTTACTTACTCTGTAAAGGTTGGGTCAACATCAACAAACATAATATAAAAACAAATTCTTTTCATTCTATAAGATATCTTGTCCAATGTACTTTCAGAAAATGTCTACTTGTATGGGACTCTGAATTCATTTAGGCTGTGATTTTATCATTTTTGACAAGCATATGAAAATGCTTAAATGTCTTGACACTAAAGAAAAATGCACTCTAGTGTTATAAGGTTAAGGAGAACTGGCAGAGAGACAAAACCCATTGGACGACTGTGATTGTGAGAAATGTGTAAGGGAGACATGAGGGCAGTCAAGATGATAGAAATGTGTAAGGGAGATATTAGGGCAGTCAAGATGACAGAAATGTGTAAGGGAGACATGAGGGCAGATAAGATGATAGAAATGTGTAAGGGAGACATGAGGGCAGTCAAGATGACAGAAATGTGTGAGGGAGATATGAGGGCAGTCAAGATGACAGAAATGTATAAGGGATACATGAGGTAGACATGAGGGCAGTTAAGATGACAGAAATGTATAAGGGAGACATGAGGGCAATCAAGATGACAGAAATGTGTAAGGGATACATGAGGTAGACATGAGGGCAGTTAAGATGACAGAAATGTATAAGGGAGACATGAGGGCAATCAAGATGACAGAAATGTGTAAGGGAGACATGAGGTAGACATGAGGGCAGTCAAGATGACAGAAATGTGTGAGGGAGATATGAGGGCAGTCAAGATGACAGAAATGTATAAGGGAGAGTTGAGGGCAGTCAAGATGACAGAAATGTACAAGGGAGACATGGGGGCAGTCAAGGTGACAGAAATGTGTAAGGGAGACATGTGGGAGACATGAGGGCAGTTAAGATGACAGAAATGTGTAAGGGAGACATGAGGTAGACATGAGGGCAGTTAAGATGACAGAAATGTGTAAGGGAGACATGAGGGCAGTCAAGATGACAGAAATATGTGATAGAGACATGAGGGAAGTCAAGATGACAGAAATGTGTGAGGGAGACTTGAGGGCAGTCAAGATGACAGAAATGTTTGAGGGAGATATGAAGGTAGTCAAGATGACAGAAATGTGTAAGGGGGACATGAGGGCAGTTAAGATGACAGAAATGTATAAGGGAGACATGAGGGCAGTCAAGATGATAGAAATGTAAAAGGGAGACATGAGGGCAGTCAATATGTCAGAAATGTGTGAGGGAGATATTAGGGCAGTCAAGATGACAGAAATGTGTAAGAGAGACATGAGGGAGACATGAGGGCAGTTAAGATGACAGAAATGTGTAAGGGAGACATGAGTGCAGTTAAGATGACAGAAATGTATAAGGGAGACATGAGGGCAGTCAAGATGACAGAAATGTGTAAGGGAGACATGAGGTAGACATGAGGGCAGTTAAGATGACAGAAATGTATAAGGGAGACACGAGGGAGACATGAGGGCAGTCAAGATGACAGAAATGTGTAAGGGAGACATGAGGGCAGTTAAGATGACAGAAATGTATAAGGGAGACATGAGGGCAGTCAAAAAATCAAATCTTATTGAACACCTTGTAGAGTAGAATGTTCAATAATCTTACCAAACACTTGGATTGAATATTCCTTGTAAACAGCACTAATAGAATTGATGGCTTCAAAGGTTACTTTATAGGTTCCGGCTTTTGTGTAGACATGAGACATACTACTATTCCAAGTCAGGATAGGTAAACTACCACCAGTCTGATGAAAGAAAGGAACATTCCATGAGACTGACAACATTTCCAGATAAACATTGGCAAACTACCAGAGACAAATAACTGTATTTAACAGTGAAGCTTTAAGTGAGTTATAACATATTTGACATATTCATTCATTCAGCTGTGGCTTTAGGGTTAGTTGATAGAAGTGGATGCCTAGGGTGTCAGCTGTGGCTTTAGGGTTAGTTGATAGAAGTGGATGCCTAGGGTGTCAGCTGTGGCTTTAGGGTTAGTTGATAGAAGTGGATGCCTAGGGTGTCAGCTGTGGCTTTAGGGTTAGTTGATAGAAGTGGATGCCTAGGGTGTCAGCTGTGGCTTTAGGGTTAGTTGATAGAAGTGGATGCCTAGGGTGTCAGCTGTGGCTTTAGGGTTAGTTGATAGAAGTGGATGCCTAGGGTGTCAGCTGTGGCTTTAGGGTTAGTTGATAGAAGTGGATGCCTAGGGTGCTGTTTTTCAAGGGGTTGTTAACTCCAGCAAAACAAAAGATTTAAAAAAAAATATTAAAAAAACAACTACAAAGCCCTCTCTTGCAATAACTGTATCATTTTAGATAAGAAGAATAAGTGTACCCTTGCCCAGAGCACAAAACTTCACTCAGACTAGGGAAATTTGATTTTTAAAAAAGAAAATTTACAAAGGAAATCACTGCAACAGGAATGTATGATGATTTATTTATTTGCTTTATCAAGAAGAGTAACAGAAATATGAATCCCCTGAGGTCAGTTAGTATTAGACTACCTTGAATCAGGTTGGTGGCTCTTTTTCCAAATATGTATGTAGCAGTGTGAATTATGGTGACAATACCAATAACAGCTGCAAGCTTCAATGAAGTTTTTTGAAGCAAAAACACAACAAAAAAAAAAAAACATTTACAAAAGAGTTGGATATGACAAGGGCAAGAGCTGCAATATCAATAGAAAGAATATTTACAGAAGAGATGAATAATACAACAAGAATCCTATTTTTGATGAAAGAAACTGTTCATGAAAAGACAGTTTGAACACTTGTATCAATTTGCCACTAATGGGATTTTTTAGTTTTAGTAGCCCACTTATTTTTAAGTACTCTGCAGTTGCAAGAAAACTATGTTTATCTTGAAATCAACTAATTAGTATAAAAATCTTAATGCTATTACAAACCCCACATTGAACAATTTAATGAGTTTTAGTCAGGTTAGGCTTCTAGTTAGGCTTTTAAGGGTTGAAACCAGGACGTGGGGGGAGGGGGGGAGTGAAAGGGGCAAACACCCCAGCTGGCACATTTGTTTATCTTAATTACCAACACTAGATAATATGTGTGTGGGGAGATGTCTAGTGAAGGTACCTCAGGGTAAAATGACAGTCTGAAAGTGAAGGTATGCCACAGGGTAAAATGACAGTCTGAAAGTGAAGGTATGTCACAAGGTAAAATGACAGTCTGAAAGTGAAGGTACGCCACAGGGTAAAATGACAGTCTGAAAGTACGGCACAGGGTAAAATGACAGCCTGAAAGTGAAAGTATGCCACAGGGTAAAATGACAGTCTGAAAGTGAAGGTACACCACAGGGTAAATTGACAGTCTGAAAGTACGGCACAGGGTAAAATGACAGTCTGAAAGTGAAAGTATGCCACAGGGTAAAATGACAGTCTGAAAGTGAAGGTACACCACAGGGTAAAATGACAGTCTGAAAGTGAAGGTACACCACAGGGTAAAATGAAAGTCTGAAAGTGAAGGTACGCCACAGGGTAAAATGAAAGTCTGAAAGTTAAGGTATGCACGGGGTAAAATGACAGTCTGAAAAGTCCCACCATGTGCATTAGAGACCAACGAAATTTCGTCTTTGATTTCAGGGCCGAAAGTTGCCATTTGATCACTTTCGGCCTAGTTTTGGTGTCGGCCGAAAGTGATTGAGACTTTCAGCCAAAAGGTGATTGATGCTTTCGGTTGTGTACCAGAAATCAGATTGACTGTCTTTAGGCAATTTGATATTCATTATCGCACGACGTTTGCTGTCATGGTATGTTATGTGACCACTCGTTGGCAAAAACAGCTCACAACTGCATGATGACCTACTTGTCCCATATTTCCAATAATTAATTTTCCATTAGGCATAAAGAAACGTAATAGATTTGAGGAAAAACAACTACGGGAACGGTAATATTTATAGTATTCAATTTATTTTAATTTTTTTAAAATTTTGGAACCCTAGGTTTATTCTATTCATTTTGATTTATCATTATCATGCTCATAAATGTTTTCATAGGCAAATAATATTGAATGATCCCAGGGAATGGTAATATTTCCATTATCAATTTTTGTTTTATTTTTTAAAATAAAAATTTGGGAACTTTAGGCTTATTCAAATCCTTAATTTATTGAAATTCATCATTATCATGCTGATAAACATTGTTATTGATGAAATAACACATGTGTGGATGTATCACTGGTTTGTTTCATAATTATGTAGTAGGCCTACTGCAGACCTGTTTACTTTTATGATTTTGACGATCAATGTAAGATTTTGAGGTTTCTTTCACATTTCTACGCCGAGACAAGTCAATACAACGATTTTAAGAGAACAGGTTAAAAAAATATATTTTCCCCCCACCAATGAGAGTGGGAGGGTTGGTCACCAAACTACGTGACCAGCATGGAAAGAATAGTGTTGTGCTAGGCTAAAAATTACTACATCGATATCTAGCCAGCTATTTATGAAAAAACAAAGCATTAGTATGATGATAATAGCGAAAAATAGTGGCAATATTTTATATCCTTAATAACAGAATTTTAAGTGACACATGGCTCTGTTAGAGACTGTCAGGACAATTGTTGTAGAATGTATGGATAGGTGTAGGTTCTGGTGACATCCCCCCCCCAGCCATATGAATCCTCAGTGCATATGTAATATATGGACTGCCACTTAATTTGACAGGGTGGGTGGAGAAGGGTGTGAAAATATGTTGTTGTTTTTTGCCTACTTTATATATGGAATTCCCTTTGTCTAATCAAGCCTGGCATTCAAAATCGGCTACATTGACATGCATGTACAATGTACATTGTGTGGATGATTTTAATGCTAAGACTAAGTGTTTTAAAAAAAAATGCACTCTCAACTGCTCCGCACAGTAGTGTTAGATTTTGACATATTCTATAAGATCTAGTAAGTGGCATTTGATATCTATTTAATAAATCACAAAGCAGCTGTACAATTTTAATACCCCAGTTTTATTCCAACAATTCTCTTCCCATTCTCCTAATTACAGCTTGTGGTAATTTTACCCACAATATGTTAACGGAAAAAAAAAATCAGGCTCCTAGGCTTAATACAGGGTTGGGGAAACCCTAGCTGGCCACGTTAAATCTTGTGGCCCGTGAGATGTATCATTAATGAACTTATTTCTTCATTCAAATTGCGATTATTCTAATTTGTTGGGTAAATGTTCATTTTGCTATCTATATTACATCATTTTTTTGTGAACGTTACAAGCCATTTCTGTGTACCTGCCCCCATTTTGGAATGATAGATTGAAAATAGATTGAAATAAGTAATACATAAAAACAAAGTATTTATTAACTACTAAATTAAAAAGGTTTTATGCAAAAAAAGAAAAAAAGCTAGGTAAGAGGAACCTTATTTTTACCAAGCACTATGGTTATGTCCAGAATGATGCAAAACTATATGTGGGTATATGCTAACGTGCATCTATAGCTTTGAATGTATAAAAAAAAAAATTCTGGGCTCAGTCTCCTCCCCAAACCCCACTTTTGTTCGGGTGACTTCGGCGGGCGTCCTCAATTTCTTCTCCCCCACCATATCTTCGTCTATCAGAGTTGCAATGACAGATACAATTTTATTTGTAATAATGCACAGTCTATAAATATATAAACGTCAGTCATCTACTTACTTTGAGAAGTGACCTTTATTAGACATGTGATGCAAATAAATATGTATACATTTATACTGTATGTTTATGTATTCACTTTTACAATACAGTATTGTAAAATATTGTGATGGTAAAGTACTATTCTGAGACCACATTGTACTATAGTGGGAGCTCCAGGTCTGCTACTGTATCATCATACTAAGCTTAACTCAAAATTCCTTCCACTTTTGTTTGACAGGGGTCAAATATAAAACTAACAGATAAATAATAATTTTGGATGGACAAAAAAATTTAAATGACGACCAATAAAAATGAGTGTTTTAAAGAAATTGTATGGTTTAGCAGAATAAATAGTTTCTTCAAGACCTATGTCTGGACATTTAAGTCAATCATACCAATAAAATATGCATAGTTGCATAGGCTAAGCTTTTGATCTATACCAAATATCTCTAGGTAGTGTTGTAATTATATTACATGAATTCTGCCCCCCACCCCCCCCCCAATCAAATTTTTCTCTTATCATACTACTTTAAAATACATTTTTAACCAATTTAAATTAATTTTTAATTCAAATGGTAAAAGCCAAAGTATTCATTAGATCAGTAGTTCTCAACCTTTGGGGGTTCGCATGACCCTTTCACAGGGGTCGCCTAAGACCATCTGAAAACACATATAGGCCCTACTCTACAGTTATAAAGTATTAACGAAAATAATTTTGTGGTTGGGGGTCCCCACAACATGAGGAAATGTATTAAAGGGTCGCAGCATTAGAAAGGTTGAGAACCACTGCATTAGATGCTTATCTATTAAAACTTTCGATGATCTCATTTTTTAGAAAAATAATAAACATTTTGATACTTTCCCCCATTATTTTTCAATGTATGAAGAAATTTCAAAATATATAATTCTTTCGGCCTCGTTCGAAAGTCTCGTTCAGCTTTTGGTTTCGGCTTTGATTTCATCCGAAAGCCTCGTTAAGTTTTTTGTTTCTGCTTCGGTTTCGGTCAAAAGTTCAAAAGTCATATTTAACTTTCGGTCTGCTTTCAGTTTCAACCCAAATCAGAAAATCCCTTTCGGCTGGTCTCTAATGTGAATCCTTTATTTTGGGGCGAGAAAGACTTTTCAATTGTTCGTATATCTCACTTGAACTACATAAATGACTTAATTCTTATTTTGTCCAAAATCTTTCAACATTTAAAAAATGGGAAATGTATTAAAGACATGAGAAAAATACTGACTGTATATGGAGCTTATTAGAAATGACATACATTACATTTGAATATCAGTCAAACAAGTTCAGATATTAAGAATGTGAATACGACTAACTTAAGCCAAACAAGTTCAGATATTAAGAATGTGAATAAGATTTATAACTAAGATAGACAGGAGACATTGATTTTTACCAGAATGAGATTGAAACTGGGACAAAAATACAAACCAATAGGGACTTCAGGATAAGACCAGCGCTGTATTCAATTCTGAGGTATCAAGAACACATTTAACAGTATAACTTTTAGAGAGTTATACAGCATTTAGGTATTTAAAAGTGACCATCACTTTAGAGCAGGGAAGATGCCTTTACTACTCTGTAATGCTTAATTCTACAAAGAATAGATCCCTAGAACAAAATTCAAAATTATTTTTATGACTGGTACCTCATCTCCAAAAGTCCAAACAAAGTGCACATGACCTGAACTAGAAGCCATCAGCCTTGTATGGGATGATACCACCAAGTTGAAGGCCACTTGTAATCCAGTCTTAACAGCCCAAGGTGCTGACAAGTAAGTATTACTAATGGAATCTGGAAAAAACAAACACTTGAAATCCTCCGATTTATTTTTTTTTATAAAAATGGCTTTCAAATCTGAATTTTAAGAGGTGAAGTAGATAAAAAAAAACTGGTTACAGTCAATTATTTTGAATTTGGTCTTAATGACACAGGGTAAATGTTTATTTCTATCAAATGACGAGGAACTAAAACAAATCTTTGAATTAACAAGACTTTGCTTTGCTTGTTTGGAACATTACGCCGGTCAGTCATTGGAACATTACACTGGTCAGTCATTGTAACAGTACATTGGTCAGTCATTGGAACATTACTCTGGTCAGTCATTGGAACATTACAATGGTCGGTCATTGGAACATTATGCTGGTCAGTCATTGGAACATTACGCCGGTCAGTCATTGGAACATTACACCGGTCAGTCATTGGAACATTATGCTGGTCAGTCATTGGAACATTACACTGGTCAGTCATTGGAACATTACACTGGTCAGTCATTGGAACATTACACTGGTCAGTCATTGGAACAGTACATTGGTCAGTCATTGGAACATTACTCTGGTCAGTCATTGGAACATTACAATGGTCAGTCATTGGAACATTATGCTGGTCAGTCATTGGAACATTACGCCGGTCAGTCATTGGAACATTACGCCGGTCAGTCATTGGAACATTACGCCAGTCAGTCATTGGAACATTACAATGGTCAGTTATTGGAACATTACTCTGGTCAGTCATTGGAACATTACTCTGGTCAGTCATTGGAACATTATGCTGGTCAGTCATTGGAACATTACACTGGTCAGTCATTGGAACATTATGCTGGTCAGTCATTGGAACATTATGCTGGTTAGTCATTGGAACATTACACTGGTCAGGCATTGGAACATTACACTGGTCAGTCATTGAACATTATGCTGGTCAGTCATTGGAACATTACAATGGTCAGTCATTGGAACATTACACTGGTCAGTCATTGGAACATTATGCTGGTCAGTCATTGGAACATTACACTGGTCAGTCATTGGAACATTACACTGGTCAGTCATTGGAACATTACACTGGTCAGTCATTGGAACATTACACTGGTCAGTCATTGGAACATTATGCTGGTCAGTCATTGGAACATTACACTGGTCAGTCATTGGAACATTATGCTGGTCAGTCATTGGAACATTATGCTGGTCAGTCATTGGAACATTACACTGGTCAGTCATTGGAACATTACAATGGTCAGTCATTGGAACATTATGCTGGTCAGTCATTGGAACATGGCGCTAGTCAAGTCATTGGAGCATTACGCTAGTCAGTCATTGGAACAATATTCTGGTCAGTCTTTGGAACATTACGCTAGTTAGTCAGGACAGACAAAAACAAAAATAGTTGATCTTATTATACAATAATTTAAAACATTTTTGATCTTCACTTATGATTGGGATTCTTGTTCACTGACTTGACAAATATTTGGGCACCAAGAGGGTTTTTGAATCTCTAAATACCTTGAACATGGACGTATGCCCAGGTTAAAAGGCTTCCCTTTGAATTAGAAGCTGTCACCGTGATGTTGTAGTGACCTGATTCATGGAAGATATGTTTTCTGGGGGATGCTTGTTTTATTCCCGTCACATTCTCCATAGAGCTCAAGTCTCCAAAGTTCCAAGAGTAGTTTGTATCAAATTTAGAACCCTGGAAATAAGATGGAGAATACATTAGTCATTGTGTTTATTAAAGCATAGATAGGACTAAATTTTCTTCAGCAGCTTGTATGATCTGGTTGGCTTCAGGATTCTTTATTCACTTTTTTCTGCTTTTAATTAGTTTAGAAATCAATATAATTTGTTGACTTACTCCAGCTTGTTCCAGATGAAAAATTACTTCCTTTCCTGCCTGGACATTGAAACCCTCACCAAGAATGGACAGCTGAATGGGAGCAGCCAATGGACATTGTTTTGCAGTTCTGCCATATTTACCCATGTCACTTCCTTCAAAGCAATTATCAGCCGGTATCTGCCTATAGCTGAATATTTAAGAGGTTCATATTTTAACACTGCATACCGGGTACTAAAATGAAGGATCGAAAACACCATTAACTAATATAGTCTTATCATGTTTTGGATAGCTACATACCACCTTTACTATAGTGTCAAGTGAAAATCTGACCAACCTATAGCTACACATTACCACTACTATAGTGTCAAGTCACAATCTGACCAACCTATAGCTACACATTACCACCACTATAGTGTCAAGTCACAATCCGACCAACCTATAGCTACACATTACCACCACTATAGTGTCAAGTCACAATATGACCAACCTATAGCTACGCACTACCACCACTATAGTGTCAAGTCACAATATGACCAACCTATAGCTACGCACTACCACCACTATAGTGTCAAGTCACAATATGACTAATCTATAGCTACAAACCACCACCACTATAGTGTCAAGTCACAATATGACCAACCTGACAGAAATATTTGAAGATAAATGAATTACCCTTTGCTTTCTTGATAAGTGCCTCCATCATCACAATCACTAAGTATGTAGCCTTCATGAAACCACAGAGCTTTTTTACACTCACCATCATGGTATTCGTAGCCAAAGTCACTGAAAGTCAGCAAATGTAACATCATCAAAAGAATAGGCAAAGGTCAGATTTTTTACTAAGAATTTAAATGTAACATCATCAAAAGAATAGTCAAAGCTCAGATTAATAATAGGAATTTAAAAAAAAAAAAAAAATTCTGAATAAGAGGGGGAAGGAGGTGGGTGGGGGGGAAAGGAGGGGGGGGGTGGGTGGCTGGTAAATACTGCTTGTCACACAAGTTTTTGACTATAATGTAGAGATGCCTATTAACTATAGTACTGTGGAGCCTTGGACAATCAACTTAATCCGTTCCGTAACTTCGTTATTAAACAGAAAGGTTAACTGACAAATAATTTTTCCCACTGCAAACATCATAAATTCAATTACTCCATTCCAGACTTAGAAATATTGTATTTTTACATTTATAAGTCTTAGCGTTCTTCTGTAATGAACAACACAGAAAGAAAAGACAATGTCCTTAGTTGTAGGTATCTAAAGACATAACAAAGTAAATAAAAATATGACTGTCTTTGACAATGTTTGCTGATAGTTGCTGACTCAGGATGATGGTATGTTTGTTGACAGTTGCTGACACAGTATGATGGTGTGTTTGTTGACAGTTGCTGACACAGGATAATGGCAGCCATGGAGGAGGAAACTATTAGTATTACATTTAAGAGGCATATCTCTCCATAAAGCTCTCTTTTTTTTTTCTCCTTTTCCTTGCACCATTTTGGTTGGTTCCTTTTCTGTGCACACAAGAAAGATGTCTCAAGTCAATTTTCATTTTTTTTTTTTGCTGCAGAATGTTCCGGAAGTGCAACATTGCATTGTCCTTGAAACTGATTTCATTCTTTACTAACGCTATTCCTTTTGATAACACTTTTTCTATTGAGGTGTAAAAATGAGGGCTAAATGACCACTAAAATTGCACAAATAACTTAAGTAGTGTTTTGTTTAACATAGCGCACAGACCAGACCTGTTTACTTTCAAACTCTTTAAATCGTACAATATCATCACAAAATCGTTCAATACGTTAATATTTATAGAAAAAATAAATATTAAGTATAAACAATCTATACACCTCAAAATCGTACATTGTAAGCCAAAATCGTAAGAGTTAACAGGTCTGGCACAGACTGTTTACAGCAAACGTGACAAAAGACTACTGGGCCAATGGGATCATGTTGGGGTGAGTGGGTCTAAGCCTATGTTCGTAACTTGAAGTAACATTGGTTACCTCAACAAAAATTGTTAACAAAATTTGTTAGTTAACCAATGTGTTTGTTGACTGCAGCATTCCATTGTATATAAATGACCTTTAATATGGATGGTCCCTTACTATAGTATATGGATGGTTTACTGTACTTTTAGGATGACTACTAATTATAGTATATGAATTTAGTACTTTAGTATATTGATGGCCCTTTATATTAGTATATATAATATATGTAAGACTACTAAAAATAATGTTTGAATTATTCCTAATTATAATACATGGCTGGTCTCCAAGTATAATATATGAAAGATTCCTAATTATAATATACTAGGCGACCTGCAGCGTAACATACACCACAAGCTTGTTGGGGTGTGCGCATGGCTGGCAAGTTGGCCACAGCAATGCGTGAACTTCCCATCTACTAAAGTTACTTGACAAAAACGTGAACTTAAGTTACGCACATTTAAGAATGCCAATTTCGCTACACCTCTTCCCCTCCCCCCCTTTCACGGCACACTTTTTATTTCACGCCGACCCGCAGCTTAGCATACACCGCGAGCTGGCTGGCAAGCCAGGGTGGCAAGGGAAGGGAGGGTTTGCCTGCGTCTTGCTTGCTCTGGTGTATCTATAAATAGCATGCGTGGTCGTCTTGTTGTTTGCCCTACTTCTGGCGAATTATATATATATAGATGGCTGGCCCCCAATTATAATATATGAAAAGCTCCTAATTATAATATATGGTAGGCCCCGAATTATAATATATGGATGGCTCCCAATTATAATATCTAAATGGCCTCAAATTATAATATATGGATGGACCCCAATTATAATATATGAAAGGCTCCTAATTATAATATATGGATGGCCTCTCAATTATAATATATAAGATTGCTCCCAATTATAATATATAAATGGCCTCAAATTATAATATATGGATGGCCCCCAATTATAATATATGAAAGGCTCCTAATTATAATATATGGATGGCCTCTCAATTATAATATATATAAGATGGCCCCCAATTATAATATATAAGATGGCTCCTTACTTCATGCATACCTGTTTTGTTTTTAAACTGCACACATTTTTTTGTGGGATGCTCCTTACTTCATGCATTACTGTTTTGTTTTCAAACTGCACACATTTTTTGTGGGATGCTGACAACAAGAATACATTTAAATACATACCATTCATAATCTTCTGCAGTACATAAACACGTGACATTCTCTTGTTTAAGTACAACACTGCCTCCATTATAACACTTGTCATCAGCTTTGCGTTGCTTGTATTTCACATCACTTCCCAACAAACAGTTGGAAGCATTGGCCTGGCAAGAAATAACAAGTCAGATTTTATTTGACACATTTTATTGAAAACATTACTGGAAAAAACTAAGATTAGAAAAAAATACACTACCATTTTGATTTAACACACTTACAGAATTATGATCTTTCACATACTTACAGAATTGTGATCTTTCACATAATTACAGAATTGTCATCTTTCACATACTTACAGAATTGTAATCTTTAGGCTGCCAAAAAGTATAGTTTGCTTCTTCACATTTTACTGGCAATATCAAGGAAAAGTTGAGCTTGATCAATGTCCATGGTTTGTCTTTGACTTCATGGCCAAATACACTGAGAAAACAAATTTATTAAAGCAGATGATGTTAGATTGTTGCAAGTCTTTATTATTTGAAAGGACAAAATAGTGAAGTGATTCATTTTCTTAGTGGGAAGGCAAACAGACAAGACATTGGTCATTACTTACATGAATAAGTATAACCGTAATATAATGAATAGTTCCCAAGCTCAGAGGAAAAAAGTGCATACTTAAGGTTGCTTATAGCAATACTAACAGCTGGATAAAGGTTAACAAAACTGCACACACCAAAAAAGTACAAGCGGGACAACTGCTTCTATGGCATTTCTTTCACCTCTACACATGGGGGAACTGCTTCTATGGCATTTTTCTCACCTCTACACCCATGGACGGCATTTCTCTCACCTCTAAACATCAAGAACATTAGGTTAAATAGAGAGGATCAGTAGACAATCGCTTGCAGGAAAAGGGGATATGTCCATGTTATGTGATTAGAACATCATTAATGTATAGGTGGAAACCAACTTTAGGACAGTGGACCTTTCATTTCCCCACTAGAATAATAATGGTATCAGTGGACTATTTATATGTCCACTAAAAAATCATAATGGTAAAAGTGGACCTTTCATTTCTCCACTATAATCATAATGGTATCAGTGGACCCTTCATTTCTCCACGAGAATCATAATGGTACGATTGACCCTTGATTTCCCCAATAGAATTATAATGGGATGAGTGGACCCTTCATTTCCCCACTAAAATCATAAAGGTATTGAGTGGACCTATCATCTCTATGAGGTTAGCCAAGAAAAAAAAACAGCATTGACTCTTGTTAGATATTTGATGAGACTCATGAACATGTGCTATGGTACAGCAAGAAAATATCCAGACACACAAACCTTAATGCATCATTACAATGTTCTTTGATTCCAGATGATGGGAAACTAGCTAAAATTGGTTTGCAGCTACAAAATCTTCAATATTTTTTAGATATGCAATTCAATACTAATAGGTTATCATGATCTGCACAATTAACTAGTAATTGGTAGTCAGATATTATTTGTTAGTTAAAATAGGTTTTAGATATTATCTTTTAGTTAAACTGGCAGTCAGATATTATCTGTTATATATACCAGGTTTCAGATATTATCTTTTAGTGAAACTGGCAGTCAGATATTATCTGCTATATATACCAGGTTTCAGATATTATCTTTTAGTTAAACTGGCAGTCAGATATTATCTGTTATATATACCAGGTTTCAGATATTATCTTTTAGTTAAACTGGCAGTCAGATATTATCTGTTAGTTATACCAGGTTTCAGATATTATCTTTTAGTTAAACTGGCAGTCAGATATTATCTGTTATATATACCAGGTTTCAGATATTATCTTTTAGTTAAACTGGCAGTCAGATAGTATCTGTTATATATATACCAGGTTTCAGATATTATCTTTTAGTTAAACTGGCAGTCAGATATTATCTGTTAGTTATACCAGGTTTCAGATATTATCTTTTAGTTAAACTGGCTGTCATATATTATCTTAGTTAAGCTAGATATCAGATATTTTATGTTAGTTACCATCTCTCTTAAATTATTTTAAGTAAACATTTGTTTTCCAGAGATCTATAGATTCCTAGAAAGCTATCATGTGGCCTCACAAAAAAGGAGACAGAATACTTGAGCTCACACTAACTGTGGTATAGCTATGGCCTACAAACTAACTATAAAACAACAATGGCCTACTAAGAATGAAGGTTACAGACTGTAGTACTGTCCATTATAATAAAATATGTCAGGTATAGGCTATTAGAACTACTGCAAGTGATGGCTATTAAGCCAGTATGGGCTTTTAGAATTATTGCAAGTGATGTCGATTAAGCCAGTATGGGCTTTTAGAACTATTGCAACTGATGCCCATTAAGCCAGTATGGGCTTTTATAATTATTGCAAGTGATGCCCATGAAGCCAGTATCACATTGTTTGCATATTGGAATTTAAAAGTTAACATTTATTACGAGAATACAAGAAATACATTACTATTTCTTTTTTTAAAATAACCTCTTTAAAAACAAAATTACCTTTCAACCAATGTTGTGATGCCTGGCTCAGTTAACACACCTTTTACAATGAGGCCTTGGTTGTCAAACAGCTGGCTGGTCCATGTGCTTCCTTGATCCAGAGAAAAACTGAAACAAGTCCAAACATATGCTTAATTATTGGCTTCTTGTTAACTTTAAAAAATGGTTTGCCTTAGGCTCAAAGTGGCAATGTTCCCATGACATAAACGGCATTCGGATTGAAGACATATTTATTAGAGTTCATTAAAATATTACATCAGTGCTTTCCAAACTGTGTGTCACAGCACAGTAGTGTGTCTCTGCAGGGTTTAGGTGAGTCTGTCGCAGCACAGTAGTGTGTCTCTGCAGGGTTTAGGTGAGTCTGTCGCAGCACAGTAGTGTGTCTCTGCAGGGTTTAGGTGAGTCTGTCACAGCACAGTAGTGTGTCTCTGCAGGGTTTAGGTGAGTCTGTCACAGCACAGTAGTGTGTCTCTGCAGGGTTTAGGTGAGTCTGTCACAGCACAGTAGTGTGTCTCTGCGGGGTTTAGGTGAGTCTGTCACAGCACAGTAGTGTGTCTCTGCAGGGTTTAGGTGAGTCTGTCACAGCACAGTAGTGTGTCTCTGCAGGGTTTAGGTGAGTCTGTCACAGCACAGTTGTGTGTCTCTGCAGGGTTTAGGTGAGTCGTGGCAAAATTGGACATACTGACTTACAAAAATACATGCATTTTTAGACATATAAGGAGGCCTTCAGAAATAAGGATCATGACAGTTTAGCCTGAATCCAATATTTTCCTATGAGAAACACCAATTGCTAGTTTAGGCTTTTTAAGGAAAAATTCATTTACAGCACGTGCCAAAACTAGCAGTACTGACCAGGGATGACATTTGGGTAGGGCAGGGTGGGGCATTTGCCCCCACATCCCCTGAATTTGCAGGTGTTATTTAAATTGCTATGTACTGTGCCGACTCCAGTAATAAACAACTTAACAAGCTGACCAAGTTTTGGTTTTGCCCCCCTGAAAAAACCTGAAATGATGTCCGTGGTACTGACACTTTTACGTGTTGTATGCATACTTGCGTTTGTCAACGATGCACAGCTCCAGCTGACACATGACCAAAGAAGTAAAAAGGATTGTATGTTAGGCCCTTTTTGTTGGAAATAGGTCATTACATCAAGAAAATGTATTCACAGTTTATCAATATTCTCTCTCATACCTTAGTGAATTTTAAGGGTGACCATGTTTCTTAAAAAGGTGGAAGAACTATTCCGAGAAAGATAAAAAAGGCACCAACAACTCTGTTCTCTGTCAATGGAAGAGAAAGTCTGATCGACATGATAACGGATGAGACTTTTGTTGGCGAAAAAAATACCTATACCGTAACAATCTGACTATATATTAAGGGCCCACGATCAATTTATTGATCAATTTGGCTCGTATGCATGTAGAAGGGATTTGCAATGTTTCCGTCCCTGGTGTTGATGAGGACATTTCACTATTTCCAGTGCCACTTTGTGAGGGAATTATGCGCTGGGGATTTGAAGGCTTGAGGTGACCAATGCACATGCTCGTTCAAGATACGGGAGTTTCAGTACTGTTATTTTTGGGGGATTACGGTATATGTAAAGCAGAAATTGTTCTGCAAATTTAAATAGTTTTGCTTTCTTTTGTACAGTCTATGCTTTGGTTGGGTTTGCATTAGTACAGTCTATGCTTTGGTTGGGTTTGCATTAGTACAGTCTATGCTTTGGTTGGGTTTGCATTAGTACAGTCTAAGCTTTGGTTGGGTTTGCATTAGTACAGTCTATGCTTTGGTTGGGTTTGCATTATTTTAACATGTAATTAGGCTATTAGCATAATTCTCCCTGGTTAGGGTTAGGAATGCGATGCAGAGTACTTAATATGTAAAAAATGTATATTTATATGGGTATAGTAATATAGACAACATATGTTTTTGTGGGTACCAGTATATCAAAATAGAAGATGAATTTTTATGTGGGTATAGCAATAAAGACAATGTATATTTATATGGGTATGGTAATATAGAAAACATATGTTTATATAGGTATATCAAAATAGAAGATGAATGTTTATGGGTATAACAATATAGACAATGTCTGTTTATATATGCTTAGACAACAATGTAAAACAATTTTGAAAGACTCACTAAATGGTAGAACTATTGAGTCCAGTCACTAGTCCATCTGGCACAGCTGTAAGAATGCTGCCCTGGTCTAAGATATTGAATCTGAAGGTTCCATTTAATGACATCTGGAGGTAAGAGATCAAATGAATCATCAAACAGAGGTTAAAGATTTGTCTCATTTAAGTACATGCATTCAACTTGCTAGCAACACTATGTCTTCAAAAGTAGATGTAACATGTAATTAACATATTGCAATCAACATGGTACAGATTGTTCATTTTGATTTTTTTTTAAAAGTTAAAATGAAGGGATTTTTTAAAATGTGGTTCTTAAAATCATTAGCACCAATCAATGTAAGTGATAACTCCACAATGACCTGTCCCTTAACACCATTAGCACCAATCAATTTAAGTGATAACTCCACAATGACCTGACCCTTAACACCACTAGCACCAATCAATGTAAGTGATAACTCCACAATGACCTGACCCTTAACATCACTAGCACCAATCAATGTAAGTGATAACTCCACAATGACCTGACCCTTAACATCATTAGCACCAATCAATGTAAGTGATAACTCCACAATGACCTGTCCCTTAACACCACTAGCACCAATCAATGTAAGTGATAACTCCACAATGACCTGTCCCTTAACACCATTAGCACCAATCAATGTAAGTGATAACTCCACAATGACCTGACCCTTAACACCATTAGCACCAATCAATGTAAGTGATAACTCCACAATGACCTGACCCTTAACACCATTAGCACCAATCAATGTAAGTGATAACTCCACAATGACCTGTCCCTTAACACCATTAGCACCAATCAATGTAAGTGATAACTCCACAATGACCTGACCCTTAACACCATTAGCACCAATCAATGTAAGTGATAACTCCACAATGACCTGTCCCTTAACACCATTAGCACCAATCAATGTAAGTGATAACTCCACAATGACCTGACCCTTAACACCATTAGCACCAATCAATGTAAGTGATAACTCCACAATGACCTGTCCCTTAACACCATTAGCACCAATCAATGTAAGTGATAACTCCACAATGACCTGACCCTTAACACCATTAGCACCAATCAATGTAAGTGATAACTCCACAATGACCTGTCCCTTAACACCATTAGCACCAATCAATGTAAGTGATAACTCCACAATGACCTGACCCTTAACACCATTAGCACCAATCAATGTAAGTGATAACTCCACAATGACCTGTCCCTTAACACCATTAGCACCAATCAATGTAAGTGATAACTCCACAATGACCTGACCCTTAACACCATTAGCACCAATCAATGTAAGTGATAACTCCACAATGACCTGACCCTTAACATCATTAGCACCAATCAATGTAAGTGATAGCTCCACAATGACCTGTCCCTTAACACCATTAGCACCAATCAATGTAAGTGATAACTCCACAATGACCTGACCCTTAACACCATTAGCACCAATCAATGTAAGTGATAACTCCACAATGACCTGTCCCTTAACACCAATCAATGTAAGTGATAACTCCACAATGACCTGACCCTTAACATCATTAGCACCAATCAATGTAAGTGATAACTCCACATGACTTGTCCCTAAACATCACTAGCACCAATTGATGTATGTTATAGCTCCACAATGACCACTCACTTAACATCACTAGCACCAATCAATGTAAGTGATAACTCCACAATGACCACTCCCTTAACATCATTAGCACCAATCAATGTAAGTGATAACTCCACAATGACCTGTCCCTTAACACCATTAGCACCAATCAATGTAAGTGATAACTCCACAATGACCTATCCCTTAACATCACTAGCACCAATCAATGTAAGTGATAACTCCACAATGACCTGTCCCTTAACACCAATCAATGTAAGTGATAACTCCACAATGACCTGTCCCTTAACATCACTAGCACCAATCAATGTAAGTGATAACTCCACAATGACCTGTCCCTTAACACCAATCAATGTAAGTGATAACTCCACAATGACCTGTCCCTTAACACCAATCAATGTAAGTGATAACTCAACAATGACCTGTCCCTTAACACCAATCAATGTAAGTGATAACTCCACAATGATCTGTCCCTTAACATCACTAGCACCAATCAATGTAAGTGATAACTCCACAATGACCTGTCCCTTAACACCAATCAATGTAAGTGATAACTCCACAATGACCTGACCCTTAACATCATTAGCACCAATCAATGTAAGTGATAACTCCACAATGATCTTCCCTTTACATCACTAGCACCAATCAATGTAAGTGATAACTCCACAATGACCTGTCCCTCAACACCATTAGCACCATTCCATGTATGTGATAACTCCACAATGACCTGACCCTTAACACCATTAGCACCAATCAATGTAAGTGATAACTCCACAATGACCTGTCCCTTAACACCAATCAATGTAAGTGATAACTCCACAATGACCTGTCCCTTAACACCAATCAATGTAAGTGATAACTCCACAATGACCTGACCCTTAACATCATTAGCACCAATCAATGTAAGTGATAACTCCACAATGACCTGACCCTTAACATCATTAGCACCAATCAATGTAAGTGATAACTCCACATGACTTGTCCCTAAACATCACTAGCACCAATCAATGTAAGTGATAACTCCACAATGACCTGACCCTTAACATCATTAGCACCAATCAATGTAAGTGATAACTCCACAATGACCTGACCCTTAACACCATTAGCACCAATCAATGTAAGTGATAACTCCACAATGACCTGACCCTTAACATCATTAGCACCAATCAATGTAAGTGATAGCTCCACAATGACCTGTCCCTTAACACCATTAGCACCAATCAATGTAAGTGATAACTCCACAATGACCTGACCCTTAACACCATTAGCACCAATCAATGTAAGTGATAACTCCACATGACTTGTCCCTAAACATCATTAGCACCAATTGATGTATGTTATAGCTCCACAATGACCACTCCCTTAACATCACTAGCACCAATCAATGTAAGTGATAACTCCACAATGACCTGTCCCAAATAAGGATAAAAAAGGAGGTCAGCGCATGAGACTTCTACAGAAATAATAGCAATAATAAATGCCAACAGCAGTGAAAGATGCCAGGGTACTGGACATAATGATGGACACCAAAACAGCAAGGTGGTCTTCTACCTGTACAGGTGTCTTGATGTCAAGGTCATGAATCACAGTTGAGACCAAAACATCAAGGTCTTTTATTTGTACAGATGTCCTGATCTTGTACCTGTACAGGTATCATGATCTTCTGCCTGTAAAGGTATACTGATCTTGTACCTGTTCAGGTGTCCTGATCTTCTACCTGAACAGGTGTCCTGATCTTCTACCTGTACAGGTGTTCTGATCTTCTACCTGTACAGGAATACTGATCTTCTACTTGGACAGGTGTCCTGATCTTCTACCTGTACAGGTATACTTATCTTCTACCTGTACATGTGTCCTGATGTTTAAGTATTCAATCAGAATTGGGTGATTGAATTTTGTTGACTTTATAACTCTGGTAGCTGCCACAAGCTGTGTATGAACTGACAGGCTGTGTATGAACTGATAGGCTGTGTATGAACTGACAGGCTGTGTATGAACTGACAAGCTGTGTATGAACTGACAGGCTGTGTATGAACTGACAGGCTGTGTATGAACTGACAGGCTGTGTATGAACTGACAAGCTGTGTATGAACTGACAGGCTGTGTATGAACTTACAAACAGTGTATAAACTGAACTTCAAATTGAGCCTCAAGGGGTAACATATGCAAGTCTGGAAGATGGAAGAAAAAGCTGAAATCAAGATAGATCATCATCTGGTTGGGCAGACATCATCCCACAGTAGAAATGAATATAAATTAAACATCAACTCAATTAGGATCTAAATAATTGCCGAAAGTTATAAATAAAAATACTTCGAACCATTTTCTCAACTTCTGCTTTGATCCAGTTGGCTCCACCGTCACGGCTGGTGAAAACAAAAGGTGTCTGGTCAATGGAACTTGTCCCCAAAATTCCATGAGCCATAATGATTCCAACAGCATTAGCCTCAGAGAAGATTGGTGTAACCAGACCACCCTGGGAGATTTGAAGTTGAAGGGCACAGCTGTCAATCTGAAATAATGACTCAGAAAGTTGAGACAATCCCCCAGAACTCACTAAATAGAACTCACTAAATGAAGTCACTAAATAGAAGTCAGTAAATGTAAGTCACTAAATTCTAAATAGAACTCACTAAATGGAAGTCACTAAATAGAAGTCACTAAATAGAAGTCACTAAATAGAAGTCACTAAATGGAAGCCATTAAATGGAAGTCGGTAATCTACCACTTGAGCGTTGGCCAAGAAAAAAATCCAGTTGTTCCGGTTGGAAGGGCTATATAAACAACTTTCTTACATTGGAGTCTGTTAATATTTTTGCTTCCGTATAGAATATATAAAGTTATATAATACTAATACATTTAAATAATTATTACTGCCAAGCTACCGATATGCCAGGAAGAAAAAGAGACTATAATTATTATTTTTTGATCCAGATGACGCGGATGTCCACACACAGAATATGGAAAACGTGAATGCTCAGAAAGCGTAAACTGAAAAGACAGTTTGGCACAAGAAGCGCCGGTGATCTTTCCCTTCATATTTACGTGGATTCATGTACCACAACCGTTTTCGTGGAAATTATATTTTTTAAAACTTCATTGTCAACTTGGGGGAGAACTATGCATAATTCCATTTTCACTCATTATCTTCTATTTCAAAAAATTGTTATAGTTTTTCTATTTAAAAAACATTGTCTATTATTATGGGAATGAATACGTACAACCAGTGTCATTAAAAATAATATAAGAATAGTTGTTTAAATAGCCCTTCCAACCGGAACAACTGGATTTTTTCTAGGCCGACGCTCAAGTGGTAGATTACCTGGAAGTCACTAAATGGAAGTCACTAAATGGAAGTCACTAAACTATGGACATGTAAGTAAATGAAACCTACCCCTTTGCAACTTTGGTTGATATATAAAGGTGCCCAGTTGCCTCCCTTATCATAAGATATGTAAGTCCTGGCAACCATTCCAGATTGAGTAGAAATTCTTTTGTTTGCAAGGAAAGTCCAGTTCATTCCTTTCACCTTTAAACAGAAAATGATATGACTCTAGAAGGTTTCAGAAGCTGACTAGAAGCTGATCTTAATGAATCTAAGGGGTAAAGACATTTTCAAAAAACAATCATAAACCAACATGACAAATGGAATAAAAATTGGTCCAACACATAGAAGAAATTGCAGATTCAATTTTACAATACAGTTAACTTGAATCAATATATATGTACTATTATTTAAGAAGCATACAAAATAGTGCATTACCTCATGAAAATCTATTTCAAACCAGTCCAATCTCATAACATGGTAAATATTTTCCATGCTAAGAACATAGTACTGACCAACAGCATCTGACAAGTACAAATTGACCACATCACCGTGATTCACAGCAACAAATACCTGGCCACCATCAAGGTTTAGGAGCATAAAATCCTAGTCGGAGGAAATAAACGTTTGCAGCTTCATATCTCCTTTACATCAAGATAAGCATTCAAATTTTAATAACCAATACAAGCCCAGATATTAATTAAAACATAGGAAAGGAGGTGGGGGGGGGGGGGCCCTTTGAAATTATTTTTTTAATTTTTCTTTTTTTACTTTTTTGGATTTTATTTTTTTTTTTTTTATTCAATTTTTTTTTTTAAAATTATCATTTTTTACATTTTCAGGATATAATTGTTTATTTTTTACTACAATTTTTGTCTTAAAACTATAATGAATATGCTTACATTTGTTTTGAGATCACCTGGAAAATAAGCCCTCTGGAATGCTTTTCTTTGATGAGAAACTGCTAGGTAGTTTTCTGATCCATTCCAGTTGCTTTTCTGAAATGAAAAATATACTAATTTAAATAACAGTTGAAATTTTTATATAAATTCAATTATGAAAATTTTACAAGCCTTTAAATAAATAAGAATGAATGACTTTGGCTCATACTTGGACAAACATATACTCCTTATGGGTGGTAAGACTGGTGGCTAGAAAAGGTCCCACATCTTGCAGTTCTGGATTTGGCTCATTCGTGCAGTCAGGTACGATACAAGACTTATACATTGCCTGAGATGGCACTGAAAGAGAAATCATTACATTCATTTTTTTTTACACACCTTTGAGCCCATCAAATTACATGTCAAATGTTTATATATCCCTTCATGCATATCTTAAAAAATTAAGAGGCGCTTAAATTTAGTTTTGCTTCACAAACATTAAGATATTTATTTGTTTTTTAACTGTTATAAAAAAAGGCTTAAGGTTTATCATGTACAAAGCTTATCCATTAACAGATTATTAAAAGAAACGTATTTCCTTACTTCCCCCTTCAATCTCCATGTGCACTATATCTGGATTCTTGTCAAAACCACTCTCACCCCTATTTAAACAGCACAAAAAAGAATACATTATTTTAGCATTCTTGAATTTCTGTCATAGAACAAAAACTTAAAGTGCCAAACACTATATAAAATTGATAATCTATATATAGATAAATACATTACAAAAAAAAGACATTCCTTTTATACTGATGTAATCTTCATGAAAATGCAAGTAAATTGTGAAGTTTTGTACTAACCAGTAAAAGTTGGGCAGGACATCTTCTGACAATAATTTAAAATTTGCACCGAAGTTGACAGAGACAAACAGCTAAAATGTATAAATGGGTAATAGAATCATTGTTACTATGGAAAAAGTTTACACAAATATTTGAAAGGAATCAGTTAATACAGCAGATCCATTAATTACACAGGCCAACAAATACAAACTTGTTTCTTGGTTTTTGATCTCTTCCTGTTTTTATTTGGGGCACTGATTTTTTAAAAATCACATCAGATTTCTCATAGCAGCTCTAGGTTTTAAGATAAGTTTGAATTGCTAAAATATTAAATCTTTTGTGCAGAATCTGGATGTCATAAAAATTTCTTATTTTAACGGGAAATATAGTTTTTTAATTTTCTTTCTCAACTACACACTAGCATAAACTTGTTGAGGTCGATATTGAGGACAATATTGATTTTTTCATTTTTTTCTAAAATGCTGGTATCCGTTTGTCACAATGTGACGATGGTGTAGATTTTGCAATCCACAAGGCCTGGGATTATTCTTCTAGGATTATAAGCTGGTTCCCAACAGCAATTCACCTCACTCCATGCCGCTGGATAACCCAAGGAAACATCGTATGTGGATATACAGCTTGGCACCAGTGACGTGGCAGGATTTGTCGGAATGTTTCATTGTACCAATGTTATCCACAGGACCCCAACTCCGGATTTTAAATTCAGAGTTTCCTTCTCTTAGATGAATTGCCAACCAGGGTTAACAAGTCCCATCCACCCAGGGTGCAGGTGATGTTTTTGCTTGACTGGGCTTTGGGGGGGATTGAACTCCAGTAAGAAGTTCAGTTGTGTAAAGTAGGAAATTCAATTGTGTAAAGCAGGAAGTTAAGTTGTGTAAAGTAGCAAGTTCTGCTGTGTAAAGTAGAAAGTTCTGTTGTGTAAAGTAGGAAGATCTGTTGTGTAAAGTAGGAATTTCAGTTGTGTAAAGTAGTTGTGAAGAGTAAATCTGAGCATATGTTTATGAAGCACACTTTTCTTTTAATAAAATGCTTCATGATTGAAAAATGCTGTATGTTAAACACCTTTAAAGCTAGAGCTGTAAAGGGAAACCTGGTTGGAATCAGCGGGTCAACTACACCTAAAAACAAGTCTAACAATATTGCATAGGCCAGTGTTATAAATGTTCATTTTAATAGACTTCAAAAAAGGTTGTTGGTAGAGAATGTTAAAGTTCTCTCATTTGAAATAAAGAAAATTAAAAGAATACCACAAGTTTTCTTTCCAAACAATTTCTACAACAATTGAATAACAGAATAAAAGTAATCAATTTTATGTTATCCAACTAAGAGCAATCTTGCATTTAACACTTATTATCAGCATGGTAATATTATACTCCAAATACCTTTCTTTGGGTGAAACTATAGAGCAAGAATTTATTGTCATCAGTCGGGTGAGGTATCAGCAGATCAGGTTCTACCTCCACAACATACGATTTGTTAGTGGTTAGCTCATCTTCTGTTGTGTAAATTTTCTTAGCCATGATGTCAGTGAAAATGAGCTGGGGAGAAAAGTTATTTTGATTTTAAAACACTTTAATTGTTGCTTTTGTAATTTTATACCTTCTTAAGTAATAATAAAAGCTAATTCCTCAAATCATAAAATATTTCAAAGCATTAATAAACCAAATTAAAGGCTCTGACTATTCTTTGATTGATGGGTACAAACTTAGGCTTAAAATTCACAATGAAATAGCTTTGATCTAATAAGAGTGAGTATGGTCAAACCTTTTTATAATTACTTGGGAAGGTGTAAATGAAGGATATTTTTGCTTCCGATTCAAATTTCATCTCTTTGTAGCTAGACCCATAGTCATCAGACCTGTGAAAAATTCATTGGAATCTAAATTACTTTTTAAAAAATATATTGGTACCCACTATGGTTCCATAAAAATCATCCTTAGCAACCCCTGTGATTGAGAGCAAAGACTTGGGAATATTGAGTGATTGAGAGCAAAGGTTTGGGAATAATGAGTTATTGAGAGCAAAGGCTTGGGAATAATGAGTAATTGAGAGCAAAGGCTTGGGGATAATGAGTGATTGAGAGTAAAGGCTTGGGAATAATGTGTGATTGAGAGCAAAATTTTGGTAATAGTGAGTGATTGAGAGCAAAGGCTTGGGAATAATGAGTGATTGAGAGCAAAGGCTTGGGGATAATGAGTGATTGAGAGTAAAGGCTTGGGAATAATGTGTGATTGAGAGCAAAATTTTGGTAATAGTGAGTGATTGAGAGCAAAGGCTTGGGAATAATGAGTGATTGAGAGCAAAAGTTTGGTAATAGTGAGTGATTGAGAGCATAGGTAAGGGAATATTGAGTAATTGAGAGCAAAGACTTGGGAATAACGAGTGATTGAGAGCAAATGCTTCAAGTGAACACACAGCGGTAAATGATTCTCTTTAATGGCTTGTAAAGGCAATCACTGAGTTTTTTTAGCAGCCAGATAAATAAATGATGATTTGTTGAGACATTTGGCGCTGTCATTTAAATGACCATATAAGCAAAAAACCCAGAGAGGCAACAGTTCTTTGAATTGATGGTGTGCCAGCAGTTACAAAACTTTCTTATTGAGGAAAATATCTTTGTTAAAAAACACCTTTACAAGAAATGTTTGTCTCCAGTTAGAAAAGAAATAGACATCATTTTTCTATGGCTAATCAAATAATCTAATTGATATCGCATGTCAGGAACTAACAGTAAAATATGACCATTGAAATTGAAACAGTGTTTCATTTAGAGTTGGCTCCCTTTGAAGTTTTTTAACCTTTAAAACAGAAACTACAACATCTTAATAACTCAATGCAGTAAAGAAAACGAATATGAACAGACAAATCTGCTGAAGAAACTCAAGCACCATGTGCTGCAGATTGTAAGATTGCACTGATGCAACTGAGTAGCAAGCAAAAACATGTTGAGCATTGGTTTACATCACAAATACTTTCAAATAAGATATCTATATATATAGAGAGAGTGGCATTAAAAGTTGTTTGCAAGAAAAAAAAGGCTACCACTACCACATACAATTATCTATATAAATTAAAAAATACACTTATTTTAGGGATTGCAAAAAAATATTCATCTGAAGAGGGGTGGAGAGAAAAAAGTAATTATTTAGTTACTGTCCCATTGTAATTTTTTACTCACCTCCAGAGTTGGCTATCTACCACTTCTCTTCTATTCTTATAATCAACTCTGCACGTCAAGACAAAAATGCGCTGAAACAATAGTAAAATTCATTATTTTAAGTACCATACATTAGCATTAAAAGGGACATTGTTAAAAAACATTAAAAGTCTGTGGGTAAATGCATTTTTTAATGATTTCATTATTTACAATAAGGGCCATGTAGAGGATTTTTGGGCCCTGAGCAAATCCAAAACGTTTAGGCCCCCACAAATTTTACAATTGCATCAAATTTATTGTAAAACTCTCCAGTGGTTTATTCGGTGTAGCTCACATCAGGTGTAGCATCCATTTGATTGAGAAATATTTGGCTGATTTACAATCACAATCACAAAGTAAGTTTTTAATCTAGTTGAACTTTTCAATATTCAACATTCAAAGGCGTTTACCGGTATATCTTCAAGACAAGAATGATGAAGTGAGAATCCTTGATGATAGATTAGTTAGTTATTTTATGAAAGCAGTAAAGGTGTGAGTGTGAAAGAGTGGCTGGCATAGGAAATGGTGTGAACAAAGGAGAAGCGGGTTTGGTAAAGTGGGGGGAATGGGAGAACAATTCAGAGAATGAACAAAAAAAGCTGTGTGATCCAGTAATCCCTTTAGTGCAGTGGTTCTCAACCTTCCTAATTCCGCAACCATTTAATACAATTCCTCATGTTGTGGTGACCCCCAATTATAAAATTATTTTGTTGCTACTTCATAACTTTAGACTATATGTATTTTAGGATGGTCTTAGGTGACACCTTTGAAAGGGTCGTTCGACCCCCCAAGGGGTCGCGACCCACAGGTGGAGAACCGCTGCTTTAGTGCATTGTTTTTTTTGGGGGGGCTAAGTTTGTCAGCAAAACTTACTGTACTAATTGGATTATTTGTGTTAGTGGTTGTACTGATGACACAATGAGTTAATTTGTAGGACATTTTGTCTAGAGACCGACCGAATTTTGGCTTTGTTTTCGGTGCAGATAGTTGCCATTTGATCACTCTTGGCGAAGCTTTGGTTTCGGCTAAAACAGAAAAGTTAACTTTGGGTTTATTTATGGTTTAAGCCGAAACAGAAAATTTAATTTTGTATATTTTCGGTTTTGGCAGAAAGTGATTGAGGCATTTGGACTTCTACCAGATGGCAGATTGTCACCCTGTCTGTCGGTCGGCAATACAATATTTATTTTTGCTTGACGTCTTGCCGTCATTGTTTAATATATAACAAATTATCTGCAAACACTGTTCACAGCTACATGATGACTTGTCAAATATTTCCAATAAATGAATTTGAATAAGGCAAAGGGAAAGGTAAATAATTTTGTGGAAAAAAAAACAACTACTAAGGGAATGGTAATAATTTTATAATTATTTTTTATTTTAATTTCTTTTTAAAAATTGGGAACCCTAGGTTTATTCAAATTCATTTGTTACATACATTTTGATTTATCATTATCTTGTCATCGTCAAAGGTAAATAGTATTGTGAAAAAAAAATCTTAGGGAATGGTAACATTTCAATTATTATTTTTTAAAATTATTCTTTTTAATTTGGGATTCATGGCGTGGGATCTTATTTCTTATGCTGTGGGTTATGTCAGTAGTATGGTTACTTATGTTAATACTTCAGGATGCCGACTAAGTCTTCTTCATTCTTTCACTTATTATCCAGGCACGTAAAGAAGAATACTCAATTCTGGTTAAAACTCACAGTACTTTATTGAACACACTTTATACTGATAATATTAATGATAATCCTTGCATGAATGTAATTTCACATATATATATAGTATTATTCCATCATTCAGAAAGACACGTCCTCACACTACTATAACTCAGCTCAACTGTCTAATCACACAGCTCTCCTAGCTCTACTGTTCTCTACTGCTCTGCGCTTAGCTCTGACTATCTCAGTCAACTCATACTTTATTACCAGCAAAGCTTGGAAAACAACCGCTCTGACAAAAACATAATTTTACTCTCCAAAAACGTGGAGCTCACATTTGTTCTCAAAAATACAATCCACATTGATTGTCTCTCCCCGTGGAAAAACCTGGTCAACACAATTCACTGTTCACTCACGCTACCTCTCTGTTTTCTTGTGAAAACCTAGTCCGTTACATGCCCCACCCATCTGAAAAAATTTTGTGCCACAAAATTTTTGGCAAAAAATATATGTTGAAATAATGATAATGTCTCTTAGAAAATTTCAATCCCACATCTATCAATCAAATAAGTGTAACAACATTAACATTTCATCATTATGAAATACAGGGCATTTGACTGTTAATATCACACATAATAGTGAAATTATTTTGGCAAAAAATTTACAAAATCATTAATGACAACCTCTTAAAATTCTTATGTATGATAATGTGAAGTGACATAGACATATTGGTGATGAATAAACACTGCAAAATGAATGTAATCAATCTTAAATCTTGCATTAGAAAATTTACAATTGGTTAAAATGTGATGTTCATTTACAAAATTGATATGTACAAGTGTATTGTCAAAAAAATGGTTGAATGTGTATTTTAATGCTCTTCATTCTCAATTTAACCTTAATTTTATTGTCATTGTCTATGAAAAAGTTGATGACCAAGAATGTAAAACAATTTATACAATAGTTCTGTATTGACAATTACCATATTTGAAAAAATTTTGCTCTTAACAGCTAATAATTGTTTTATTAGAAAGTGTTATGCCAGGTTAGCTAACATGGAATGTTAAGTATTTCTCCGCACTGAAGAAAATGACAATTGTGATCTGTTATCTCTTTGTCTATCTCTTCCCATAAAATTGTTATTTGTAGTTGTGTAATGTTCTTCTTTAAACTTGTTTTCTCTGTATTTTATTTCATTTTTGAATTTTTCAGCCTGTCTATAGTGTTGATGAATATTTCTTGAATTTAGTCTAAAAATGTGTTTTGCCCTGTCTGATTTTTGTTCTGTATATGTTTTATTAAGAATTCCTTTATTATGTGGTCTTGTTATGCTATGTGTTGGATTCATGTTTAAATGTCTTCCTCTTATCCCTTCTGTTATTAGATCCTTATTGTTATTGCCTAGTTCTTTGATATTGCCAATAATTAATGGACAAACTGGATTATCCATTACAACAGCTGTTACAGATCCTGTGATCCATGGACAATCAACTTTGATTCTAGCTTTCTTACATTCTATTCTATTATTGTTGGTTAAAATAACTATGGCTTTTTCATTTGTGTAGTAGTTGTCATTTACTAATTTTCTGTCTACAACTATTGTTGTACAACCAGTGTCTCTGAGACATTTAACTACTTTATTGTTAACAATTGCTGGTGAAAATTTGAGTGTTCCATCAACGATAGCTGATGTTTCATGCGGTGTATTCTGATTGTGTCTACTATTTGTTTGATTGGTGTTGTGTCCCTGGTGATCACTTGGTTGATTTCTATATTGTTGTCTACTCCTATTTGTACTGTTGTATCTAATTGGACTACTGTTAGGTGATGTTCTCTGATAGTATTGTTGTGAATGTCCTAAATCTCTATGTAATTTCCTACACTCATATTTTTTGTGACCTGGAATGCCACAGTAGAAACATTTGTTGTTGTTTGAGTAATTAGTATATGGTGTCTGGTAATTGTTTTGATAACTTTTCTGAAATTTATTGTTTTGCCATCTGGCAGGTAGGCTGTGGTATCTTCTGTTTTGATATGTGTTTTGTTTTTGTGTGTCCCTATCACTGGGTATGTTTCTAATGGAGGCTAGTGTACTATTTCTATTATCTAGCTCTTCATTGGGGTGAGCATCTTTAAATGTTGTGATTGAGTCAACTAAATCACGCTCATTTTTAATTTTTCTCTCCTTAAGAAATGAAAATAAAGAGACTGATGCATTTCTTAATATTTTGTCTATAATAAACATATCTAGTAATGCTTTGGGATCATTTAGGTCAATTTCAGTGAGTTCAAGCCATTTGACAAGATTGTCTCTAATATTAAATATAGTGGTGTTGGGGTCTATTTCTCTCTCTAGTCTTATGTTGTGAAAATTTTTTCTATAAATGTCTTCTGTGTTTCCATAGAACTTTAACAAAACTTTCTTTATATAGGTATAATTATTCTTTTGTTCTTCACTAAGTGAATTGATAATGCTTAGGCTTTTCCCTGATAATCTGCTCAATAAAATATTAGCCCAAGTCTCTTCTCTATAATTGTAAGACTGACAGATGCCCTCAAATTGTGACAAATAACTAATAATTTCCTCTTTATGTTCATTAAATTCTCTAAATTTGGGTTTATATGTGCTATTGGTTTCTCTATTGCTTGTTGATGGTGTATGCTGTCCTGATTCTATTCTAGCTCTTTCTAGTTTTAATCTTAGACACTGAACAAGCTGGTTGTTTACATAAGAAGGAAAAAATTGTAAACTTCCTTCACTGTGACATGCGCTAGCTAAAGTTTCATGTGGTTTGGTGTTTTGTCTACTGTTAGTCTGATTGGAATTATATCTTTGATTTTTATATGGTTGTCTACTCCTATTTGTACTGTTGTATCTAATTGGACTACTGTTGGGTGATGTTCTCTGATAGTATTGTTGTGAATGTCCTAAATCTCTATGTAATTTCCTACACTCATATTTTTTGTGACCTGGAATGCCACAGTAGAAACATTTGTTGTTGTTTGAGTAATTAGTATATGGTGTCTGGTAATTGTTTTGATAATTTTTCTGAAATTTATTGTTTTGCCATCTGGCAGGTAGGCTGTGGTATCTTCTGTTTTGATATGTGTTTTGTTTTTGACTGTCCCTATCACTGGGTGTGTTTCTAATAGAGGCTAGTGTGCTGTTTCTATTATCTAGCTCTTCATTGGGGTGAGCATCTTTAAATGTTGTGATTGAGTCAACTAAATCACGTTCATTTTTAATTTTTCTCTCTTTAAGGAAAGAAAATAAAGAGACTGATGCATTTCTTAATATTTTGTCTATAATAAACATATCTAGTAAGGCTTTGGGATCATTTAGGTCAATTTCAGTGAGTTCAAGCCATTTGACAAGATTGTCTCTAATATTAAATATAGTGGTGTTGGGGTCTATTTCTCTCTCTAGTCTTATGTTGTGAAAATTTTTTCTATAAATGTCTTCTGTGTTTCCATAGAACTTTAACAAAACTTTCTTTATATAGGTATAATTATTCTTTTGTTCTTCACTAAGTGAATTGATAATGCTTAGGCTTTTCCCTGATAATCTGCTCAATAAAATATTAGCCCAAGTCTCTTCTCTATAATTGTAAGACTGACAGATGCCCTCAAATTGTGACAAATAACTAATAATTTCCTCTTTATGTTCATTAAATTCTCTAAATTTGGGTTTATATGTGCTATTGGTTTCTCTATTGCTTGTTGATGGTGTATGCTGTCCTGATTCTATTCTAGCTCTTTCTAGTTTTAGCTCTTCCTCTCTTAATTTCATTTCTTGTTCTTTTAATTTCAGTTCTTCTATTTGTTTAAGGTCGCTTCTCTCTAACATTCTAGCTTCTCGGTCTTTGTCTTGTCGGTCTTTGTCTTTTTCCTGTTTGTCTCGTATTTTGTCCATTTCTTTAGCTACTTCTAATAGTTCTAAGTACTCTGCCATTTTTGGTTATAATGTGTTTGAGTAAATAAAAATATATTGGTATGTATAAGTATATTAGTTATTTCCTTATTCTTTAGTTATCAATTAAAATAGTTCACAATATTACATAATATTTACATGTTCATGAATGAATACAAAATGCAAGTTAATAATTAATTAAATGTAAGAAAAATTTAAAAAATAATTAAATTGTCTACTTCACAACATAAATACAGATATGTAGACGTTTACATAAATACAAATGAGACAACAAATACAAAAGTACTGTGCAGTTTATGGACAACAAGATAGTAGAAAATATGACAGTAGGTTGACAATATGTATAACAATGACAAGACAAATAGAACAAATCTGACAAGATCTACTAAAAAACAATAGTTATGACGATGTACAAACTAGACTTCACAACTAACACAAAATTATCCTACAGTGTTATAAATAGGGCCAGAAGAAACCTTTATTGTTTTAATAAAAAAACTTCCCTAGGAAAGATAACACCGTGGATATCCCTAAAGTATACTTTAAAATTAAACTTATAATATACAGAAAAAGTAAAAAAATTACTTAATCTAATTAAGTATGATATAAGTAGATTTTTAAAGTCTTAAATTATATATAATACATAACACATAATATACATAAATACCAAGTGTCCAAAAGAAATCTGTAGTTGGTCACCTCTGCTCCTCTGTGACGCTATGATTTCTGTGTAGTCGATAATCCTATGTAGTAGATAATCCTTCTATGGAGTGGATAATCCTTCTATGTAGAAGTGTACTTGGGTAAAATAATCCAATGAGAAAAGTTACACCACAAATTGCTGCAATAATCCAATGCAAGTACCTTGCGTAATAGTGTAATTGTGATAATCCAATAATTGAAAATTGTCTACTTTCTCTCCGATTCTGTTGAACTTGTGAGTAATTGCGGAATTACTTGAAGAATTATTTGACTTGAATTGCGCACTAGGCTATGTGCGGCTTATATAAAGTAAAGATTATGCTGGGGAAATCTTACTTCCGATGTCTTGATAAAACATCTCATCTGTAATGACGTCAGACTTCTGTTGGTCTTGTGTAGTGGATCATCTCTTTCGTTGACTAATAACTGTAAAATAGATTTCTTGCTGTTTCTTCCACGAGAATATTCACTCCGCTAAGTGTGTTATATAATTGAAGCAGTGTACCAGTTAGCTGTTTGAACTCTGAACTTTTGACTCCCGTGACTGACCTAAATTGTCGGCTAGCTCTGTGTGTAGAGGACTCTTCTCAGACTTGATTGATACACGGGCGAAATGACATTCGATGTATCCTTCCGCACGAATGTTTAAAATATATCTTTATTACTCAATGTTCTGTAACACACTTCTGTAACACATAGTTGTTCGCCACTTCTGACACCATTTGTAACACATCTACTCTGACATGGCGTGGGATCTTATTTCTTATGCTGTGGGTTATGTCAGTAGTATGGTTACTTATGTTAATACTTCAGGATGCCGACTAAGTCTTCTTCATTCTTTCACTTATTATCCAGGCACGTAAAGAAGAATACTCAATTCTGGTTAAAACTCACAGTACTTTATTGAACACACTTTATACTGATAATATTAATGATAATCCTTGCATGAATGTAATTTCACATATATATATAGTATTATTCCATCATTCAGAAAGACACGTCCTCACACTACTATAACTCAGCTCAACTGTCTAATCACACAGCTCTCCTAGCTCTACTGTTCTCTACTGCTCTGCGCTTAGCTCTGACTATCTCAGTCAACTCATACTTTATTACCAGCAAAGCGTGGAAAACAACCGCTCTGACAAAAACATAATTTTACTCTCCAAAAACGTGGAGCTCACATTTGTTCTCAAAAATACAATCCACATAGATTGTCTCTCCCCGTGGAAAAACCTGGTCAACACAATTCACTGTTCACTCACGCTACCTCTCTGTTTTCTTGTGAAAACCTAGTCCGTTACACTAGGCTTATTCAATTAATTCATTCATTGACATTCATCATTTTCATGATTATAAATGGCTATATACAATAAACCTATTATAACTATTTTATTATATTGTAGGCCTAGTACTAGTTACAGTAGGTGGAAGCAAATTAAATTAAATTTTTGGTATAGTAATGATTTCTGTATTCTAGAATTACATTACAAAAAAAAACAATATAAAAAATTTATTAGATTTATTCATATATTTAAATGTTATAGGTGAAGTGTTTAATCCAGCCATTCTATAGATCAGCATTATCACACAATTACCGATTACAGACCAGCCATAAATTTGCTCATGTGACTTCTTTGAAAATCGTAATCCAAGTGCTTCTGAGTCGCGCAGAGACACCTTTGCAAAGCCAAAAACTCTGGCTTGTTTATTGCTACTGTCAACTCAATCAGCGAGTTTTCAACTTTACCTCTGACAAAACAGAACATTTTTGTGGTTAACAACAAGATCACATTGTACAGTCAATGAGCCAAGTCTTACAGTGCACATGGCTTTAAAACGAGTTCACAATTCATTGTATTCGCAATGTTTCACCTTCAGTTTAAAAAATATTGTTTGTGTAAACACATAGAATTTAATTATAATAAACATGTTAAAACCACTAAATCTTTTAACCATTCATTTTACAGTAAAATTACAGGACGCATTAATAAAGAACAGGTACTCTAACCTAAACATAAACTTTAACCCATCTCCTATCCAGGGGGTTATGACATATGGCAATCATGGCAACCACTAACAAGCTTGAGAAAGCTTTGTTTATATTATTTAGATTTAGTCCTAGAATATGGTGCACAAGGATAGCAGCGTATGCAGATTAGTGTGTATCATTTAAGCATATTCAACACAGGCAAACTAACTTTCAAGCAAAAATATTTTTTAAAGAATAAAAATACTTTATCTGGCTTGCTGATTTTGTGTCCCCCCCTCCCCCCCCACATCCCTTTTCAAGTGGTGCACACAACACTTGCAGTGTCTTGTCTCACCATCAGTACACCTCTACTCCTACCTAAACACTCTCCACCCCTCCTTAAGTCCAGATACTCACTGGCAAGGTGTGAGAATCACATTTTGTTTGAATATTTTTTTGGTTCTTGAGTTGTGAGCTTGGTGTCTTTCAGATGTCTGAATGCTGATTGGTTTATGACCTTGGTGTCATTTAGATGTCTGAATACCGATTGGTTTATGAGCTTGGTGCCATTGAGATGTCTGAAAGCTGATTGGTTTGTGAGTTTGGTGTCATTCAGATGTCTGAATACTGATTGGTTTTAAGCTTGGTGTCATTGAGATGTCTGAATGCTGATTGGTTTGTCAGTTTGATGTTAATCAGATGTCTGAATGCTGATTGGATTAGAGACTCACTAATAATAAACATGGTGTAATATAATAATAATAATAATAATAATAAAGTTTATTTCTAAAACACGCTTCATCCCCAAAGGCTCGAAGCCCGGTACAAAATATAAATAGTGTGATCAAAGAGGGCAATTTAGAATGATTTTAGGGGGCAGTGAACTTTACGATATTGGATAGAGAATTTTTAAACATGAATATTGAAAGGATAGTTTAATTTTATAGAGCATTGAGATAAATGAAAAGATACCAAGAGGACTTCAGACACTCAAGTTCAAGATAGAGGAGAGGAGATGAGATGTTACAGTGTTCACAGTGCAGTTATGCTTTAAAAAGATAGTTAATTTATTTTAATATTTGAGAGAGTGATAGTTGCTTCAGTCACAATTTTAACCTTCCCTTTACGTAGAATGTATAGGAACTTAAGATATTATTTGTGTCTCCAATGAGTGTACTTTGTATACAGTACAGGAACTTAAATATTATTTGTTTCTCTATTAAAATTATTTTGTAAAAAGTTGTGGAGCGCTGGTATAAAGTACAAATTCTTGACAAAATTGCAAATTTTTTTTACTAATAAAGGCACAATTTTGCAAAAAATTGTACTGTAACAAACTATTTTGATTTGAAAGTTGTGCTTTGGCTTTAACCTGAGGCTTAGCCTAGGCAGGAAGGTAGTAAACATGTTAGTGTTAGAATGTGTGAGTGTGACCAGTTATGGACAAAATATTCATAAATTATAAAAGAAAATAATTGGCCAAAGAGGAAGTTGATCAGGGGTGTGTTGATATTAAGATAACTAAATAGAAATTTGTTTTTGTTTTAAAGTTGAACATTTAGATAAGATGACCTGCTGCCTGTGGGCAGGCTGCTAGGGCCAAATCCAAAAGTAAAGCCTACCTCACTAGTGTCTTTGCCGATCCAGTGAACATAAGCATGGGTTGATTTTTCAGTCCCATTTAGTAATACACGATTTTTTAAAATTTCAGGCGTATTTGCAGCGGTTTCCCTTTTGGTTCGATGAATAAATTCAGAAAGCACTCCTACTTCTAATTTACTCGTTTCATCTGTTACCGTTGCGGCAATTTTTTGTTTGTTAAAGTTAAATACGTTGTTGTCGCTGTTGACTATTTCTGATGACATCAGGTTTTTAACATGAGAAAATTTCTTGTTAAATGAAAAAATTGCTGATGATACTGACGAAATACAAATTAAAATGAAGAAAAAGTCCAATAACAACATATTTGGTGTTAATTTATGTTGTTTATTGTTGTAGGCCATTACAACGGACCACTAGTGTTTGTGATTGGTCACTTGTGCAGTAAACATTTAATGTTGGCCTTTTTTTTTTTTGGTACGGTACAAAATTTACAGGTACAATGACACTGCCATCTCAACGACTGTCATAGTCATATAGTAGATTAGTAGAGTATTGTCTCAGCTTTTCGTTGTTTTCCTTTCACAAATAGGTGTAAGTAATATCCCCTTTAAAAAGTATAATCCTATACAAATTATACATCGGTTTAACGTTAAAATGTAATATTTTGGAAGTAATTCATAAATAATTCAAAATGACAAAATTATTTCCCACACCACAGTGGCTACTGTTACCGCCGCGGTAAACCTATGCTATTAAAAATCCTTGTTTACCGCTTGGGGGGATCATATTATTATGTCCTCGGGCTCAAGACTAGTGAGAGCGAAAAAATGGGCGTTGAAATAGTTTTGAAGATGATAATGACGTGATAATATTGACAATATGTGGCACATCATTTAGTTTATAAAATATCTTTAATTTTATTGTGCTTAAATCTATAGTAATGTATTAGTTTGTAAATAGTCATGACAAAATCTCTTTTTACTACATTTACAAAGCAGTAAACGCAGCCTTAGGTGAGCAGTTTATCGCCGCGGTAAACGTATTGTCGTCTATTAGTTTTGGGTCCATCCATAACTTCTGTCAAACAGTACAGATGCAGAGAAGGCTTCTTAAGTTCTTAGGAAAAAAAAAAAAAGAGAACAGACAAATCATTTTAACCACGGTAATGATGGATTTCATTTTTCCAAATTATATTTAACGAAGTGGATGCGTACACCGCGGCGGTGTACCAAGTGAAATCGTGGGCTTTGGCCTGGGTACACCGCGGCAAAAATTTACCATTGGCCTGGTTTTAAGATATACTTGTTGTAGAAGATCTTGTGTGGTCAAGTGGTAGAGTGGACGCTTGGCGATAATATAGTTTGAGATCAATTCTCAGTAGGGGATCGAGTTTTTTTCCTCCCATTTTAGTTTTAAAATATTTTGTAGCAATTGAAACAATTTAAATATATGTTTAAATATTATATTAAATACACTTTATATATTTATTTATATATATAAGTGTTTCAACAAGTTGTGCCGGCCTTTGACTTTGAAAATACCGGTAACTTTAGTAATAAGACTTTAGACATTTGAAAACAAACTTAAAGTTTCTGAAAGCGCATGTAATACATGATGATCATGT